TTTGATTACGGCAATAATCAAAATTACTGACTTTAACCCAGTAATAAGACCAAAGAAAAATTCAATTTTCTTATCTTAAAAAGGCCGTTTACGTTGTTTCTTGCTATCAAGATTCTTCTTGTTTGCTGCTTAATGGTCGTATCTTTTTTGGCTTAAGTGAGGCAGGTGCTTTCGGGTATCTCTTAAAACTTTATAACGACTTTACCTCCTGTGGAGCCCCTGTCATTGATAAGCATGCACTATATCTCAGATCATTTTCTAGATTTTGCCAGTTCCATCACGGTGGAGTGTTCATATGCTATCTAACGAACTACGAAAGAAATCAGATCTGGAACGCCTTGCCCAATGAACAAAATCTTTGCTGCTAAAATATCTTCATTTCTCACAAATTGTTCAGGAATACTTTCACGCCAATAAAACGCCAATTTAAATTGCGGCAAATATAAATCAGATGGCTGGTGTGAAATGCAATTCGATACTATTTGTTCAATAACCTCATAAACAACACCTTCTTAATTTCATATTTTTACGGTAATTCAAAAAGGCTCAATCAAAAGAAGTTAAATGGGATGATAAAAGTATTTGAAACTGAGGGGAGACCGTATTCAAATTCACTTCGAGAATCAAAATTCAGGCTAAGGAATGAAATGAAATTTGAAAATATTCATACATTTGCATTTGAAAACTTGTCATTCGTTTGCCTTTAACCTTTTAACTGTCCGGACGAACTTTGGCAAACAATTTGAAGTTCACCTCTTTATGCGTCTCGAGTATAAAGACGGGCGAAAGATTCATTATGCGTCCAGACGAACTACCTTCCGTGGTGCGTCGAAGGAATATCTGACCAAAGGATGGTTCCAGATTCGCCTAGACAGATAAAGGGACGCATTATTCATCTGGTACAAAAATGGTCATTAAAAATTTTCCTCGGAAATCGAATCTAAGGGATGGATTATAATGATCCGGGTTGGTTCAGTTTGCTGGGCTGGCCACTTAATTTGTCAAGTTAAACACCACAAATGGAGGGTCCCACTGAAAACCGCCATGGTGAGCTAGTTGAGCTTCCTGTAAAAACATTTTAATTAATGATGTGCGATTCCCTCCAGTTCTCTGGTGTTTTCCTCAGGACTTCTCAGCCATGTTTCAGCAGCTTCCTGTAGCTTAGAGACAGCACTTTCTTCAAGATAAGAGGAGTGCTAATGCAAGGGTTGCTGACAACTGTGCACTTCCAAAAATTTAACCTCCAATACCAGGCCTTTGCATTCTTCGAGATAGTTCCAAGTGCACCGATCATGATGGTTGTCGCTTCCACTTTGGTGGCTCTATGGATTCTTTTAATTTTGAGCGCCAGGTCTCGATACCTCCCCACCTTCTCCTACTCAGTAGTAAGGATATTTTGGTCCGTTGGCACAGCAATATCGCTAAGTGTCCACTCCTGTGTGCCTTTGCGTACTACAGTAATACCTGGCCGATTGTGCTTTAGCCGCTTGTCTGTGGTTAAGATAGTCATATCCTAAATTATCCTCACTTTTCCATTCTCTTCAACTGGAAAGGGGTGATGGTCGTACCACTTGTCAGTATACTCTAACCAATACTTTCTGCACAGCTCCAAGTGTACCCGTGGGATAGCTACCTTGGAGTGGCGCTTCCTATAATCTGCCTGGGCAAGCTTTTTGCATCCACCGAGATATTCCATTGTTTCATTTGAGTCACCAAGCAGGCAGCACATTGGTGTCTCAGAGGTCTTACATATGCTGTGCTTAACCGAATTAGTTCTTAAAGCTTGTTCTTGTTCTTGTTCTTGTTCTTGATCACATCAAACTCCAAAATGTTAATCAACCTGTCCCCCTCCCTTCCTCGGTAAATGCAGTCTGCCAACATTTCTTCTGGTGTGCAATTCATTGCCAGTATCTTCCAAGTTTTTCTACCCATGCTGACCAGGTCTTCTACTGTCCAATCCATGATACCTGCACTGTGGAGTACTACACCTACAGCCCAGGCATTGATGTCATTAATACGTTTTTTGCCATTCAACTTGGATCTACAAAGCTTCTTGAATCTTCCAATATATTCCACTGTTGTCTTGCCTTTCATCTTGGTAATGAGAGACCGGTTCAACTGAAAAAGTCAAGGTGTCTAGCTGTAGCCCTCTTCCTTAACTTCCCCGGTGCCTTGGTAATCTGGTGGGTATATTCCACTGCTATTCACATTCCTTACTCTTTCTCTTTCTTCTCATTTTCATGACAGCACACCTGTCTAACGCAAAGGACATCTTTATTTCCTCTGAGAAAATCCCTACCGCTTGAACAAGTGAGTCAAGATGGTCTTTTTTTTTATCTATATTCAACCTCAAATTGTCCATGAGTAACAGATGGCTGATGGGCTATATGTCCTTCGTCAGTCTGTATCAAGCTCTCATCTTCCGTAACACTTGGGTCGGTGTCAACGTGACTAGTATAAACAGCAAGGGGGACAAGGAGTCTCCTTGAATGATTCCTCGGATCAATTTTATGTTTCTGGGAAACTGCCCACCTACCCCTCTCCTAAGCCAACATTTTGCCCTAAGTGAGCAGTATGTGTTAATATTGACTTAAGGGAGGGGCAGGTGGGCAGCTTATCAGAAACCTAAATTGACCCGATTCCTCTTCTGATGTCAACCTGCCCGAGGTCCACTCCACCTGATAGTGTCTTACAGTTCACCATGCTGTTGCTGAATTTAGAGATCATACTCTTGGCTGCCCCAACCATCTTCAGGCATTTCAGGATCCACGAATGTAGCACCGTAGCATAGGCCTTCTTATAATCTTTCAAAGCAATTGATAAGTTTGTCAGCCTTCTCCAGCGGTTCTTCAGATCTGTTTTATCTACTAGCAATCGATCCTTTGTTCCTTGGATTTCCTTTCTACAGCCCTTCCGTTCATCTACTCTCAGTCCATTCCTCTCCAGATGTTGGTTTAACGTTTCTCCCAGGATTCGTGTCGAAAGCTTGACATCATGTGTAGGCAATAGGGCGATAGTTGCTGGTCTGATTGCCCTTCACTGGATCCTTCTGTATCAAAACTGTTCTTCCTGTCGTCATCAACTCTGGAACAGTTCCTCGGCAATCGCAGTCTTGCAGGCATTTTTTGCAATCTACTGTGTATTCCTGTCAGTATCTTAAATCAGTACCTCTGAACAAGGTCAGGCCCAGCTGCCTTCCAATTTGTCATCTCTGCTGAACTCCTGCTCAGCGGTCCTCAAGCCAAGTTGCCCTCTCGTTGTGGCTCACTAAGTCGACCAGATCCTACTTCAAAAGGCGGTAGCTTCGTTCTTTTCAATTGAGCGTTGCATAAACCAGTTTCTGGTCAGTTCATTGAAACAGTTGGCTTCTTTCGTCATATCTTTCGATTTCAGAGAGGCAAGTTAAGACAAAATACCCTACCACCCATTCTCACGCGCAACCTTATTCCCTTAAGTCCAGAGAGTGACCAACATCAATTTTCTCCTTGCCGTATTAATACATAATCAAGAGAAAAGGTTACGAGCATTAAGAAACTGATCACTTAAGGGAAAAAATGATCTGATCCTTAATCAATTTCTCTCAACTTCGCCGCGCCAAGGATCGTCACATATTTCTAGGTTTCTTTGCCACTCTTCGTCGCTGTGTGAACAAGTCTTCATACAATCAGACCGGCTAGCTTTTTATATCTCGGCATTTTTAAAGTAACCGCAAACTGCCCACCTACCCCTCTCCTAAGCCAACATTTTGCCCTAAGTGAGAAATAAGTGATAATGTTGGCTTCGGGGAGGGGTAGGTTGGCAGTTTCCCAGAAACCTATATTGATCCGTATCCGCTACAGTGTACATAAAGCCTAAACGACCAATCTACATCTACATCTACATATCACCCCGTAGGAAAATTAGATAAAAATAACTATGTAACTATTACTTAAGAAAAGCAGTTTGCGTTTGGGTATCTGATGAAAAATCCACGTTCTGACTTTTTTAAATAACTTTTTTATCATACACCGAAAAACCTAGCATGTGTAGCATCTCAAAGTTTGTCGGAAGTGATACTTAACTTGCTGAAAAGGCTGTGCGAAATCCGCAGACATACCGTAAAATTCCGAAAATAAGCCCGGGGGCTTATATTTTTCAAAGGCCCTTTTTGAGGGGCTTATTTTTGTAGGGGCTTATATTCGGAGGGGCATATGTACGGAGAGAAATTTGCGTTTCCAAATTGATTGGGCTAGCTTGTATACGAGGGCAAATTCCAAGTACAAGACCCCCGGGGAGCTCATATTCGGAGGGGCGATTTAACGGAGGGTTTTTTTGCGTTACGATTCCGGGGGGCTTATATTCGTAGGGGCTTATACATGGAGGGGCTTATTTTCGGAATTTTACGGTAACTATAAATTTCATGAGACCACGCGGCCTGCACATCAAAGAAGCTTGTAAATATTCCTGTCTCAAAACGGCGCCTTAGCGATCACTACTATACTACTACGCTGTCTACGAGTGACTCTTGGGATCCTTAAGCCCTGTGACCGATTCGGCCCCTCTGATCTCTTAGGTCTCGTAAATTATCGAAGGAAGCGCTTAGGAGATCCCCTTCTTCAAGATGCAATACTAGGAAAGAAGCTTATGCAACCACGACGATGCCATGGCCGCTGCAAAAAAGTCCCCAGAACGATCAATTTGCATCTTTTCAAACTCTATCAGGTAATTTGTAACCGCTCAATTTTTCAAATGAAGGCGAATTTTTGTGGAGTGGTCATCAGAGTAACGTACCGTGAAGTGGCAATTACAAATAGTGTGATGCCGGGGAGACCTTTTTTCTCATAAAATGAATTGTTTTCGACGCTCTCTCTGTCGTCGTCGTCGTCATTGCTCCAGCCTCCTTGTCTCAAGCAACTGATCCTCGACCGCGTGCAAATGATAACAGAGGGCAAATGGGTACGAGTCAGGTCACACAAGACGAAAACAACAGATCTTACAAAACAACCAACCCAACATGAAGATTTTTACGTGAAATAGACTGGTCTGTTTTATTTCCATTATTTCCTAAATTACACTAAACAGTTTACAGCGGCGACGCAATGAGTCGAGATCTTCTAAAATTCTTATTCTCATATGTCCCCTATATCTTAACCAAACCATATATATATGTGTCTATAAATAGCACAGCGCGAGTCTTGTTCCGGAACCGTTGCAAGTTACTAGTTCTAGCAACAAGAGTGTTATGCTGAACTTCCAGAAATAATATGTATAGAGACATTGCTACATAAAAGCCAGTTCTCAAAATTTACAAAATAACCTAAATTTGGTAGGGAAAGCGAAGAATCTGCAAACAGTTACATACAACTCAAAGAAAAATTGCCGTCGCATAGCAGACTCTCCGCTTAGGGTACGTTTTATAACTGCATTTAACACAGGCTGCGATCATAATTCACTTGAATATTCGTTTTAATTTATCACCGAGATTGTCACAAAATCACTACAAACAATAATCAAATCGGTTATAAAAATAATTTCTGCGTCAATACGTGTTTTATGTTTTGCAAACACATTTCACCTTCACTTAAACAACAGCTCGCAGCCTAGTGTGCCCTTGCGGGAACTTTATTTTTCCGGTTTCAAATTTGAGGAAATCTAAATGGCACTATAATTAAACAGCGTTTCGCCTGATAAATCAGTGTTTAAGCTTACAGACGCACGCGAAAGCACTAACTAAGAAGTAAACAACTAACAGTGTCAGACATTTTTATAAAATGTTATGCTTAGATACTCCCTAAGCAACTTGTTTGCTACTCAGATGTTTTCTTTGTCCACACAGTCAAAATTTATCTCAAAAATTATAGAGCCTAACTTACATACGAGCGAGACGGCCACTACGATCCGACGCTAAAACATGTATCATATTGATCGTAAGGCAACCAGCCTTAAAATAGCAACGAATTGTTGGATTGCAGCTTCCCAGCTAATTCCCGTCTTCAGACAAATCTCGCTGTTGGTTGGCCTAACTGTCTCACTCACTCTAAGTAACTCTCGCAGGTTCCCCAGAAGTTCAATTCCAATTAAATTTCTATTAAATTTGATAGAAAAAAAAAATCAAAACCGTCCTCTCTTGAATGCTCTTGTAGTTTAGTCAAGGTTTAAATCAGCTACCAAACGTTCAAAACTCGCAAGCTTGCCTATGATAGGCAGTAAATCTCGTATTTAATTGGTAACATTTCTAGACCAGTTATCACATCCCCGTATCTTATGCCCATCCATATTATCATCAGCATACACATCCAAGAAGAGATCGTCCAGGGTCGGGTCGGGATCACCTTGGGCAGCCTTCACAGCTGCCTCTACCTCTTGCTTAGCTTCGTTCTCAATGCTCTGAAAAAGAAACGTAAAAATAATATTTTCAATGAAGCAAAATAAAATGTTAAACTTTGAGTGCTTCACATTCTTTTGTTAATATCAGTGCATAATTTCATAAAAAATGTACGCTTTGAAATTACGTCTAACAATATTAATGACGCGATTGTTGACTGTTTAATATGAAACTTATATGAACTTTTGCAAACACACAAAATAAATACCGTAAAATTCCGAAAATAAGCCCCGGGGCTTATATTTTTCAAAGGCCCTTTTTGAGGGGCTTATTTTTGGAGGGGCTAATAAACGAAGGGAAGTTTGCGTTTCAAAATCGGCTTGGCTTATACTGGCTAGCTTATAGTTGAAAGGAAATTTATGCCAGTAATTTGCAGAAAGTTTTTACTGAAACTCGCCTTGAGGACGTAGACCTTTCTAAAACGTGGCCATACAAGTACTTTGTCCATATGGACCGAGGAAATCAAGGCCAAGATTTGACATTTATTTTCTCGGGTTCCCATGATAAATAGTCTTTGGTGTTACAACAGATAACTAATTACATGTTATAGCCCTTGAAAAATGTAAAAAAGAATGTGATGTTGTTTAAATTATTCTGGTACAAGGTTTTTTGTCCACTGAAAATTAAAATTACTCAATTTCGTGATGGATTCCGTCTTAAAACCCTAAGTTTCAAGGACTGCTCTTTGTCAGAGAGAGCGGTGTGCTGTACACTAGATGACACAATCTTTTTACCTTTATGTCATCAACGTCCGCGAGCCCTGAATCCAGCAGTTTTTCACGTAATCCAGAGATTGGGTCACGTGTCTTACGCACAGACTGCACCTCGTCACGTGACCGGTAGCTGTAACAAAGAACAAATACAAAATATACTTCGTTAGAAACTGTAGACATTTTCAACCAGCAGAGTTTTGGTGAATAACTCCAGGCCCCAGTAATTTCCTCTGGGGAAAACATTCCAATAAGAAGTACTGCGAAATATTTTGTTGTGGCTCTGTTTATGATGCAACAAGACTTCATTCTAATGGTCATGTCCATGGATGACAGTTATGCTAATTTGTGGTTACTCAAATTGAGTAACTAAACCTAAGTGTTCAAGTTTAGCCGATTACACAAGCAACTTCAAAAACTTGACAATTTTTTCCTTGACAAGGGACCGTGAAACTCTGAGGGTTTGTTCACACTTTGGCCACAATTGGAGTACGGTGCGGAGTCCGAGTACAAGTTCGAGACCTGGCGCTCGGACACGAAATTGGACACCCTGTGTGCGCATGTTTTCTGTTAAGTTTTCAGGCAATCCACTTCACTGCAAACCTAAAACTCCCTGCTACGCTCATGTTTCAAAGTGAAAATCGACAGCGTGAAATATCGAACAAAAATGTACACGGTTACATATCGAGTACTGTATGTGTAAACACAATACAATTTTGTGGAAATAGCCTCTTAAAAATACCTTGTGCCGGGGTCGCTCATGCTATGCCCGTAATAACGGTAAGTCGCTAGTTCCATCAGGATTGGGCCCTGCCAAAAGGTATGTAAATAAATAAATAAATAAATACATGTAAAAACAGAATTACATTAATAAAATTAATCTTTCACTCCTTGTCGATACGCACTGGGCAACATAGTAGGGACTTTAAGATCCAATGACGCGATGACATCGAGAAAGTCGCTTAAAAAGTGAATTTTCGTTCTGTCAGTCTTGATCTCAATTATTCCTACCCACTTACTATGTCAAATGTAGGCGAACCTCCTAAAGTTGAATTCCGAGGGACCATTTCCAAGTTCAGAAAGAAAATTTGCTTGCGTTCTCTATAAAACGTGAAATTAGATGGTGAAGACACACTTGCTAACTTTGCAATCCGAGGGGGGGGGGGGGGGGGGGGGAAGGTTAGTCAGCAAAGATTTATACGAGGAAACTCCGGACCGAGGCCCAAACCCTTACCCTTTTATATCCATTTTCTATACCTCTTCCGGCCTATTATTATATCGTCTTTATCTTTTTGACAAAGTTTGAACATGATTGAAGCAGTCTTTGTACCTTTCCTGATCTTGTATAATCTGCTGCAAACTTAGTTGCCTCCCTCACTGTTAAAATATCCATACCATCGACCTGTTCGGTGAGTAGACCAGAATCAGATCAGTGAGAAAAATAATGTCAAACAAGCCGACAACAACTTTCAATTGACCGTCCTCTTATAAATCAAAGAAATAACGTCAAAATGTTCAAAACTCTTTAAATACAAGTCGCGGGCGAGTAGTTTTCTCTGATCTTTAAGGTGACTCGACCCAGTTTTTTTTGGGGGGGTACCATCCTACTTTGAAGCTCTCTGGTATTCCCACCTTTACTTTTATCGTAAGTCTAACACATAGAATGGATAACATATAGATCAATCTACAATATAACATAAAATTTTTGGCGATCGGAGTAAATGTCACGTGGTTATAATGCCACGCACCTTTGAGGTCTGAGTCGAAAATCTGCTGTTGCCGACATTTTTTTGTGAAAATCTCTCGGCTACACATAGTGCGCATTAGTGCCTTGCGCTGAACAGAGTTTCACCAGAATCGCAAAGACCCAATTCGAGAAATTCAGCGGTTTCCAAATTTAGGTCATAATTTATGCGAAAATGATAAGCAAACTTTTTTTTAGCGTTTTGGCTGAGTTTGTGCTTTGGGAATTGTCTATTGTTTCTAGTCTGTCATTATACAGCATTCTTGTTCAGCACGCGTGCAATGACCACGCTTGGCTGACTTGCAAATGCTCACCGAGATATGATAATTTTGGTACAGTGAGACAGGCCATCGTGTGATACATAGAGGTTTAACTCACAATTCTCAATCAATTCTCGTGCTTCTTGTGCCTTTGCAAAAAAAATCAAGAAGTGCTACACACTAAATCTACTTACTATTAAAAAAATATCATTTTTTCATAGGTTTAATGCAAGCCAATAATTAAAATAACTCGTGACGGGAATCCCTTCTATTTTCTCATACTAAATTATCATATCTCGGTGAGCATTCGCAAGTCAGCCAAGCGTGGTCATTGCACGCGTGCTGAACAAGAATGCTGTATAATGACAGACTAGAAACAATAGACAACTCCCAAAGCACAAACTCAGCCAAAACGCTAAAAATCTTCAATGTTTACTCAAGTTTGGGCTTATAGAAGATAATGTCACAGTTTTTCAATGACCATGAAATTCACAGTCCGGGTAGTTAGTTAATCAATTGTGGCCCTGAAAAAATTTGAAGGAAAAAAAACTACGATTTTTTAAGAAAATGCTTTTTTCGTGAGAAGGACTCTTCAACGCTGACAAACGTCAATAAATAGCAAAAACTATAATTTCTATATGTTTGCTTTGCTCGAAATCGCGCGCATTTAGAAGGACCTAAAGCTTTTTGCTGACTTGCAAGGACCCATCTGTTATAACGATCCCCAAAATAAAGTGATCGGTCTCATAGACTATTAGATATAATTGTGTAAAGTTTGCTTATCATTTTCGCATAAATTATGACCTAAATTTGGAAACCGCTGAATTTCTCGAATTGGGTCTTTGCGATTTTGGTGAAACTCTGTTCAGCGCAAGGCACTAATGCGTACTATGTGTAGCCGAGAGATTTTCACAAAAAAATGCCGGCAACAGCAGATTTTCGACTCAGACCTCAAAGGGGCGTGGCATTATAACCACGTGACATTTACTCCGATCGCCAAAAATTTTAAGTTATATTGTAGATTAATCTATATGTTATCCATTCTATGTGTTAGACTTACGATAAAAGTAAAGGTGGGGATACCAGAGAGCTTCAAAGTAGGATGGTACCCCCCCAAAAAAACTGGGTCGAGTCACCTTAAACAGGGTTCGTACAAATGTTTGGAACCAACATATTAAGACTTTTTCCACACCTTTCTTCCAAAAGAAAACGACAATTTCTTTTTCCAGACTCAAGGCTATCAAATAGGTGATCAAAACGGGCCTTGAAACGCTGAAACCAGGGGTCAATTAAATAAACCTTTTACACGTGTAATTTACAAGTGCAGCCATTGTTTTAGAGTCTGAGAACAATAGCCACTCTTGTGAATTACACGTGTATAAGTTTTATTAAATTGACCCCAGGATTTTCTTGTGATGCACTGTCAAATGCGGAAATAAGAGACTTGAGAAATGTCTCATTCAGTGATTGTATACGATTTGACCACGGGAGAAATTTTTTACTCTAACACTGAACACTTGTTGTACCTTTTATTTGGCTTTTTAGCATTTTCCAGACTGGAAAAGGTGCTTTGCAAATTTTATGACCTTTTCAAGAATTCTGCAACACTCTGTATGAAGCTTGTTTAAAGGTAAGGACGAAAAGGAAAGAAGTGGTCAAATTTGTTTACTAACTTTAATTCCAGGGATGTAATCTCCTCTTGTATGATATTCAGTGGTGGCAGCAGCTCGCTCAACAGATGTACCCATTCCATATCCATTGTTTTCACAGACAAAGATGCAGGGCAGATCCCACAGTTTGGCCATATTGTAAGTTTCAAACACCTATGGCCACACATAAGGTATTTTTTAGCAGTTTTAAGGTGCTTTCCATTACACTAAAAATTTGCGAAAAATTGATCGAAGCAAAAATGAAATGCTTCGGTCCAGAGGCAGAAAATTTATGAAAAATGTCCACTTGTAGGATTGGTCATCTTTAATGGGTCTGTCAAGACCAAGACTAACCATTGCAATTTTGAAAATTCCTGTACCCCTTATGTTATCAATCACAGGAAAAACAGCCATACAATGGTCTACCATATTAATAATTTAAATCAATATTGACAATGTCATGTCAGTCAATAAAATCAACCTTAGTTTTTTTCCAGACGTCCTTAATCAGAGTAAAGCCCCTACTGACACAGCAACATAATTATCTTATACAAGCTACAAAACTCTGTATACCTTATAAATGAAACTAGAAAATACATGCACTTTTGTTATGGGCTGGTGTAATTTAAGAACATAAAAATACTCATTACATTCAGTAACTGTGGCAGCCACATTTTCACTATTCATTTTTTGCTTAAAATTTTTAAGAGTGTCTACTAAGGAAGGCGAGTGAAGAAGGGATTTTGCTGCACATCATTTACATGACTTAGTTATTGATGAGGGACACCACAAGTACAGCCCCATATTTAAGATGTGATTATTTGAATGCTGGCCAGGCAAGTGGGAGGCTGTGAAGCTTGTTGGCACATCTGACTTGCAATCCAAAAGTCCCAAATTCAAGTCCCCAATATCATCCAGAAGTAGAGTTTATAAGACAGTAGTAGACTCCTTCTATTAAAACCCTGTTTGCTTCCAAGAGGTTACAATTTTTAAAAACTAAAATGAATAAATTCAAATTGTCTATAAAGTATCTTTACCTGGCCTTGATTTGCAGCACCATCTCCATAAAGAGCAATGCAAATTTTACCATTCCCTCTGTATTTGTGAGCAAGGGCAATTCCAGCTCCCAGAGGAACCTTTAAAGTGTTTCAAAAATAACCATTATCATGGGAACTTTAAACCATATTTCGAAATACAATTTGAAATGAGAAACCTTAAAGCAAGTCACACACTCACACCAAGTGATAGCATAGCCTACGTCCTGTACTTTATGCTTTGCTGTGCGCTTGCATAAGGTACATGTACTGGCCGTGTCATGGGTTGTGTCACTTGCTTTAAGGTTTCTCTTGTAATTATTTTGTCTGGATGAAACAGAAACCTAAGACTGTAAAAATGGCAACTCAATGTTGTTGGAACTACATTCATGAACAAGTCAATAGGATAGCTACTGTAAGTGAACAACAAGGAGTAGCTCCTCTAAAAGAAAATACCATTAAAAAACAGAAATTTATTACAGTTTTCTCCAATACAGTAAGTAAAAGTATAAACATATACACTGAAAAAATTAGTGTAGGAGGAGAGGGAAGCATCTAAAAGCGCACTAGGCTCCATGCGTGGGATGCTCCCCAATGAACAGTTAATTATATACATGTATTTATACTCACCTGAGCTCCAACTATGCCATTTCCACCATAATATTCATGACCATACATATGCATAGAGCCACCCTTGCCCTTGGAACAGCCAGTTTTGCGACCTTAAAGCAAACAATAATAATTATTACTGAATTCCAAGTAAAATCAACTGAAGGTGAAAGACACATGCCATTTTATTACAACCAACAATAATTATTATAGCTGTGGTCTTAATCCATATGATGTACCTTTAGCACAGATGGTACTGAGTAATAAGAAGGTGTGGCTAAGAACATAACCTCTTCTCTGAAAAGTAAATGCTTACCCTAGAATCTTTAAACACAGATTTTAAGTTCATTTCATTACCTTTTTTAGCTGTTGGCAAGGTGGTTTAGTTGTCTAGTGGCATATTTGCAATAAAGCCATGTATTTAGTTCAATTCATGATTCTTTGCTACTGCATTTCAATTTGGGTTAACCCTTTAAGTCCTAAAAGTGACCAACATCAATTTTCTCCTAACAATATCCATAGATTGTCAAGTGCAACATCTATGAGAGTTAATCAAATGATCACAAAGAGAGAAAGCTCTGATCTTTTATCAATTTCTCCCAACTAATTCTGTATGGAAATGTATAGAGATGAGTTTGAAGAATTTGTTTGTGGATATTGGGGCTTAAAGGGTTAAATCATAGCAGAAAGGTGCCATTGCAGTTTTAAATACAGCCTTAATAACCCTTCCTGTCAAAATGTCTAGTGGTCTTTTTGTCAAATGGGCTTACACTGTATATCATGGAGGCAGCGTGGCAAATCCTTAGCCTTGCTTGTAAATAGCCAACTGGTTGCCTCCCGCCAGTTGCGGGTTTTGATCCTGTTATGTTACATTTGAAATACTTGTTTCTAACTACTTGAGTGGAGTGCCTGTAAACTAGGTGAATTCAAGTACATTGTATAAAGCTACTAAAAGTGAGACAGTGCTCTTTCCACTATAAAACTTAAACCTTCAACCTTTTAACAGGTCATAATTCATTTGCTGTTTTGGCTGAGGAGCTAAGGAGTTTGTAGAGCTTTTGCCTATAGTTTACATCGCCTAGTCAAAATGTTGCCTTGTTTCTACTGCCCTTTGAGAGTTTCCTAAAAAGGCAAACCATATGCAAGCTTTTTGTCATGCTCCCAAACATGGCTTACCAGGCACTTGTTAACCACCCACCCCCCCTCCCCCAAATTTAATATTTTGGGTATTTACCATGTTTATATGGGAAAACCGGAAATTCCACAAATTGGAAAATCAAATGGTTTGCACCATTTCGTTTGGGAAGGTTCAGATTTGAGGGAATGCAATTTTTTAATTCTTTTCAGTCTGTTCAGAAGATTTGGGTATAATATGTAGCCGGTTGTTATCCCACCACCTCAAATCTTATAAATTTGACCCACAAACAGCTACTGCACAGGTAATGCTCCAACCAAATGCCTCATATACAATACCTGGCACAATCCAAATTGGCTTAAAAAGTCTGTTCAAGTGCAGCTATGCAAAAAAGGAAGGAATAAAAAGTTGTGCTTACCGGCAAGTTCACACAGTATCTCAGCAACTGACACGCCTCTCATATACGTCCAGCCATGACAGCGATATGCGGTAATAATACTATCATCCTTGTCAATGGCAGCTTCCATTCCAATACAACATGCTTCCTGAAAGAAAATTGTAGCAACACTTTTGTCAACATAACACTTGCCTTGTGGACACCTCACTATTATGGACACCAATAATACATGTACAGGAGCTAAATCCCCAAAACTTCCAAATTTTGAACAGAAACAAACTCCTGTTATTAAGGACTCTTGATATTACTGAAGAGATTCTCAGTCTCGTTATAGTGGACACTGAGTGGCATCTTCCGACATTTAGACACAAAATTAATACAGTCTGTAAGGAACATTTTTCATCACCACATTTCCTAAGTACAAGCTTCTCTGACATTCAACTGAAATTGTTGTAAATGTACTTGTAAACGTATTTTACCCTGCAGATGGAAATGTACCAAAGTGGTCATGATTGCTTACGAAAGTGGCAGCAAGGAGAGTTTTTAACTATATCTAGCCTACAAGTCACCATTGTTTCCAATTTCTATTGGGTGTTAGAGTTGTACCAAGGGAAATCAAAGACAATGGTTATGCAATAATATTGGGAGGTAAACATGAAGTTGCATTATGGTCTAAGTGAAAATGGTGAATGGGCTTTCGTCACCTTGTGATCTGCAAAAGTGAAGGCATTATAATGTATTATATTCTATTAAAAACTGAATCATTGGATAATGCAATTCTAGAGCTCTGATTGGCTTAGCCATCATGGTATATAAGCCATTATACCATGCTCTCCAAATAAGGTAACTGTACGTGTCTGCTCAAAATTTAAAACAAGCTGAAAATCTGTTCTTTTACAAATAAAGTCGGGAAGAATTCTCAATATTGTGGGCGTTTTCAATATTATTCCACTCGCGCTTGTTGGATATGACATGATTATAGCCAACTCGGCTAATTTAGACCATTGAATCGATGGTATATTGCTCGCATCTTCCAAATAAGGTAAGCACCAGTTGGTTATGAAGAATTAGCCAGCGGATTGAAGCCAATAGAAAAGGGCAAATATTTTGAATGAATATCTTACCTGTCCTGAGTAAAGATGACAGAAGCCTCTGATAACCTTGGATTTGTACAGGTTGCTTGCAGCCGTTTCCATTCTCCGAATGATCTGCATTTGTCTGTAGTATGTAAGGCCATCTTCTCTAGTCAATACAGCCTTCTTAGGTGGACCACTGTCCAATCTATGTATTGGGCAATCCTTGAAAGACAGTAATATTACATTATCATTATACACACTATTATACTATTATAATAATAGTAATAATATTATTATTACTATTATATGCAATAATAACAATATTATTTGTTATTCACGCACATCTAGAAAAAAAGCATAAACCAAAAAAAGATGACACCCACAAGCTTTGTGAAAAGAGTTGGTACAAATAAAATTCTCACATTCAGAAACCATTGAAAAACATTACCTAGAAAAATGGGGAAACCATTTGGCTTTGTAAGACTGACTTCATTACCAGTACAGGAGACTCTCATGAATGTTTAACTATGGACATTAGTCTCGTACTAAGAGACTATGCAGATACAGTCGAAGCATTTGGTTACAGTAGAAGCCACTGATCATGATGTAAGCTGGAATATGATATGCAAACTCCAAGATGAAATCCCTTGTCACTCATCCATTCAGGATGGGTGGAAGGTTAAACAATACACATGAGCACCATGTCAAATGTGGTGGAACTCTACTATATATAACGACGTGCTCATACAAGAACAAAAAATAACATTATCTCAGCATCTTGCTCCATGTATGAAAGCCAATATATCGCAACTTGGCAAAGAATTTTGTTCAATATGCGGGGGTTTTATCGTGTAGAGGTTCATTATCAGTTGTTTCATGACTTACTGATAACTCAAATTCTGCTTCCTTCACTTGACTTGCAAGCCCTCTAGTTGCTGTGACCAGTAATCCTAGAAACTGAAGAAGATTCAAGACAAAATCCATCAGGAAATTGAGTAATTTCAATTTTCAGTGGACAAAAATCTTGTACCAGAATAATTTAACCAATATCGCAGCCTCTTTGACATTTGTTTTTCAAGGGCTATAGACATAATTAAGTTATCTGTAATATTTTTAACACCAAAGACTTCTTCTCATGGGAGCCCGAGAAAATAGTTTATACATGTAATACTGTGATTTCTGCTCACAATGAAAATAATGTAGCATAATAAACAAGCTGAATTTGCTCGTTATTAGGTCATTTGCAAGCTCTAAAAACTCTTACTTTCAAAACCAGGCTAACTGCAAAACCCTTGTGATGAAAATAAGTTTTATTTGCATGAGAATGAAAAATCATTTTCATATCAATGGCCTCGCACTTAGCCTCACTTTGAAACAGAGCCTCGAGGCAACTCAGAAATGGCCTGTTCACTGTTGGTTTGCTGGCTGCCAAATGTAATATCATGCAACAAAATGACACCCTCTTGGAACAACTGACAGCATCTGGGGGTTTGAAAACATTTCAGGTATTTTGTAAGTACTTAATATAGATGATTTATTTAGATTTAGTTCTTTTTGCTGGTTTTCTGCCCCGTTTCTTAGGTCGTATCTGCAGGCAAAACAACTTAAGCTGATCAAATTGGCACCAGGCAAACTGATAGTGACTTGCCAGTCAACTTCAGCATGGTCTAATATCAATCACAAAATTACATGTACCATGCCATGAAATTCAAATACCTAAAAACAAGAAAATTTCATAGAGGTGAGATGTGCAAGGGTTAGGATAGCAATAAAACTACTAATCTCTACCTACGTTTATTTTAAAGGTAAGGTAGATGCAACTGTACTGGTAATCGAAAGACTCTGAAGACCCTCTTTTTTATGGAATAACTTATTAAATAGTTGTAATGTAAACCATTCTCTGGGGGATGGGGGGGGAAGGTACTCCCATATATGAGCCATATAAGTCCCAAAGGGTATAGATTTTGCCCATTTTGGTTTGAAATCAAGGGAGCCACAAGAATGTTTAATAAAGTATTGTATTATTTTGTCATTTTACAGTCAAACTTGGAAAACCATTAACACCAGAAATATTTATGGAATGTTAATATGATGCCAAAAAAAAGCCAATCAGGCATGAGAAAGTAAACCACAAGCAAGAACGTTGATAAGTTTGTGGTTTTGTAGCTACCGGTAGTTTGCGTGTCCCGATCTTTGCTGTGATTGGACGTAATACGATAAACTTTATTGAAATAATTATTTCAAGTGCTCATGGTTTTGCCAGTTTGACTGTAAGGTAAAAACCAAAATAATCATTCAAACTGAATTTTAACAATTTTTTTGTTTGTTGGCAGTCTTATCTAAGTGATGATAGCATGATTTAATAAAAACATGCATGTCATGTTTGTAACCCCTCCAATACCTTCATAAAAATTCTCCAGGTGAGGTTGGAAAACCGGAGCCACCACATCTATAAAAGTGCATTGACCAACAATTTCATCTTGTCTTTAATAATATTATAATTTATTGTGTTTCACGGATTTTGACTTGGCTACAAGCCGATCACAGAATTTGCATGACATTTCCATAAGTTCTCAACTCCTGAGAGAGGAAAAAAATTGATCAAACTCTCGGCTATGAGCCGAACCCCTTTGTTGGGAATGTTTTTGGTTGATACAAGTCCAAATTTCTGAAAAAATCGCTCGGCTTATAGTCCAATAAATACGGTATTCAAGATTTGCACTCTACGTTTACTACACAGAGGGTCACTAAAGTATTGTTTTTACTTAGAAGCTTCTGTTTTACTTTGAAAATTCACGTGGTCATTCAAATGGGTTAAGAGCTACAAACCCCGATAGTTCAGTTGGAATGATGAGATATTGAAGGAGCAGAAATCAATCTTCACAGGACTTTGAACAACATTCTGATGACTTTTCAAAGCTGGTCATCAGAAGTTGATCTCGAAAATATCCACAGGGGTATTTTCTAAAAACCATAATTTCCTGCTATTTACAACATCTTAAATTTCAAAAAGCAAGGCACGCATGCATGCGCATTCTGTTTTTGTCCATAGGCATTTCCTGCACCTTCCCCTCAGATAGGTCACCAAAGTGAATTGACCGAGACAGACTGAAAAACACTGTACATACAGGGAGTAGGCAATGACAGTTACACTTTTCAACCCCTTATGAGTTTCTGATAAGACAAAACTTGAGCTTTTTGTTCTTCCACTGGTTCTCTTCCCTAATAATGTTGATTTTTCTGGCTTAAGTTGAATTGCCTGACATCTTTACCAGCTTGAATTGGCAGTAGGCGAACTGGCAGTGTTTTAGCTAGGTCTAATATCCATCAGACAGATACCACGCTTTGAAATTAATATATGCTTAACTTAATCTCCAAAATCTAACTTAAAATGAGAAGATTTTATGCATGTTAAGTGAGATACGCTTAGGTCCACTTCGCATTCTAAAGAGCAGTAAACACTAGAAATAATCTACAAGTAGATTGTAAGGTAAGTAACAAGATCAGATCCAGCCTATACTAGCTAGTTCACAACAACTTTGCTTCCATCCATCCAATCGAAGCCATAACTGTACTCTGTACAAACAGCCTTCCAAATAAAAGAATTCAGTGACGAAGCTTATTTTGCAAAAAAAGATGACAAACACAGAACTTACTGGCCTAGTCAACGAGGAGTTGACCTTCAGTGCTGCACTTCCTGTCCGAAGCATCATTTTCTTGCTTTGGCGAAGAAGTGTAAAACCAAAATGGCGATCGACAACCTCCCAGTCAGTTCGATCCCAGATTTCTCTCGGTTTCTAGAGCGGAACGTGCAACACCCGCCGGGCATAACACGAACACAAACACCGGGCATGGGAATGGAGGGAAAGGAGGGCAAAGCCTCGTCTTATATTTTAGCCTGAGCAGCAGGTGTCGAAAGGGGCAGAGGATTGGGAGGAAGGGAAAGAAGGAGGGGGATTGGGATTCCCTTTCGAGCTTTTCTCCACGCCCCCTACCCTTTTTGCGCCTGCCAGGCAGGCTATATTTTAGAATTCAACCCCTCATCATGCTAGGGGAACATTTGAAAACTGGGATATGGTAGGAAGTAAAACTTGCACCCTTACTATGTGGCTGAATCCAAGAGAATGGACTGAGATGTTCTCTTAAAGGTTTCATCATCATCATCATCATCATCATCTTGGTTACTTCTTTAACCTGAGGCATGACAGGGGCGGTAATCGGTCAAGTCGCCCGAAACTAATTTCGCCCAAAGTTTTGTCGCCCAAAATGTTATCAGGTGTCCTACACTGAGAAATAGCGTTATATAGGGAGTTGGTGTAATATCTCTCGTTATTCTATAGAAGTGGGATCTTACTAATGTGTACTATAGCGGAGCCCCATCCCCGTTCTAAAAAAATTTCCCCTAAAATTGATACCCCGTTCTAGAAATGGGCCAATTTTTTATACTCCGTTCTAGAAAGTTTGTAAATTGAAATAGCCCTGTTTTTTCAAAAAGATATTTCTTTATTTGTTCGACTTATACATCAAATAAATGCTTCTTCATAATCAGCAACAATTTTAAGCAGAAGATGAAGACGTGATCCACAATTTTTTATACCCCGTTCGGCAGGGCAGAAAAACCGCTGATTGGTTAAAAAAAATTCCACTGAGAGCATGCGCGTGCGCCTTCCGCTGACCATATGCAGATGCAGTTGGTTCAAAAGAATGAGCGATCCGAAGGAGCTACAATCGAGCGATCATGAATGTGAGCTATTTGGCCGAAATTTGAAGAGCACTGTGTTGAAATACATCACTGAAAGGTCTTGTATATAATGGTATCATTTTGTTTTGCTTCGCTTTGGAGGTAATCTTTGTGATTGTTTTACGTTAAACGGACGGAGTCGTGCCAAGCAAACCATGTGCTTTTTTCGATCAACTTTCTTCTACGCGATTGTTTGGTTTTCCTGCAACAAGTCTCGGTGATCCGATAGTTACACAACTGAGTTTAAAGGTAAGACATTTTTCGTCTTTGACATAGTGAACGTTTTCAGAGTTAATGAGTTAACCGAAATTTGCATTGGATGCTATTTATCCTCCACGAGATTGCGGCGGTGCAGCGTGCGCTGCGTGCAGGCGTATAATGCGGCACCTAACAGTTGGCGAAGCCATTGCTAAAAGTAACCAAACTTTCAAACAAAATAGCACTTCATAGCACCCTGAGTTACAAGTTTAATGGGCTTTTGATTCTAGGTTATATATATCCACACTGTTCAATGAATTCCTTAGTGTGAATTGTTTACATTGTTCCGCTAGAAGCGAAATTATTTTTTTGTACGCGTTGTCCAATTTGTAATTTCTTTACATCAATTTATACCAACTGATTTATACAGTTAATAACTTTGTTTTTGGACTGATATAGATTTGGAATGATTTTACTGTACAAAATTAGGTTGTTTTAAGAAAGGTGAAATTTTAAGGATGAATTTTTAAGCTTACATGTATCCAGAATTAGCAGAGTTATACACAATCCTTGCCCATATACAATGTGGTATTTTGAAGTGAAAATCTTATTATATTTACATGTTCAAAATAACATCGAATATTTTGAAGACACTATCTTACTCCTGTACATCACATTGTCCCTTATTAGTATTCTCGACAGGACTATCACTATATTTTTCTCACTGGCATAGTAGTTGGGCTGAGTTAATCTTTTATAATGCAAAGATCTCATATAATATTGTATGGACCAAATTCCAAATGCAAGCACAAGATCACTTATTTGTTATCTAGCTACTTGCATTGTTTTGAGATACCTATAGCAAGACAAAGGCAACAACAAAGGCATTGTTCAAGGTTTCTCTCCTGTGTTATCATGCCTATTCCTATTCAAGGTATTTTACATGAAACAAAGGGCTTGTATTATTTGTTTGGATTTGCTTCTAAAAAGGAAATGATTATTGTTTTGTTATTCTCATTTCAGGGAAACACTTAACTATTTACCCCTTTGTGGGTGTTCTGATGCTGAGTCAAGCCCCTTTGCTATTACAGACCCTGCCACATGTGACACACACCATACTAGTATTAACAATTACTGCTTCTCCAGTAGAGTCGGTGGAGTTTACATTCTTGGAATTTTTGATGCTGTACTTAAATAAAGCACTTTGTGGAAGATGCAAAAGGGATTGTTTTGCTTTAATGAGTATCTTATTTGCTAGTGTATCAGGTTTGCTATCATCATCATCACTGTCATCATCATCTGAGTTGTCACTATCATCATAAATCGCCGCCGTCATCATGATCATTGGTGGGAGGCGAGTGCTCTCACCATTGTGCCATCCCTTGCTCATTATTGTTCCTTATGCTAAAAGTGTTTTAAAAATGTTAAGCCAAACCTGGCATATAATCTTCTTGTTGTAGTACCATGTTGGCCAATCACCAGCTAAGAGCAGTAGGTTCTTTTCCATGTATTCGCTTAGTGATGGGCAAACTTCATTGAGGTGCTGCATTGCTTGTCTATAATTTGCCATGCTCTTAAGGGACTGTTCAAATTGGTCAACTAGCCAAGTGTTGGACAGCAAATCCAAGTCATGTCTGGCCTCATCTGTATACACTCTACAAGGTATTTGTTATTGTTTGTATCATGAAACATTGTACATGCTCTTTTTGGCACCCTTGAGCAACATTTTTTGAAAGTCAATTATCCATTCAATATTAAATTTTCCATTTCAAATTCCTACATTGTGAGACAATGCAAAGTGGTATGTGAAAAAAAATTTATGATGGGCTGTATGTAAAACTAGTTATTGACATTGGGAGTTCCCAATTTCATTTTTGAGGGGAATTTATAATAAAGATATTTATGGTGCCAGTTAATTTTAAAATTTATGTGGCATTGATTTATGCCAAAGTGTTAAATTGCATGAAAAGTTTGGATGAAATACATTACTAAAATCTATTACTTAAAAGTATTATATTATTCTTTTTGTACAAGCTTGTGGCACCCAATGACTATTAGACCACTACCTTGACTTTTAGGTTTCTGATTTGTTGTAAATCATACCTTAATTCAACTAAACTTTTGTTTACATTTGTCAGATCAAACTGGCTGAAATCAGCAGGTAGAGAGTCTAAATAACTGAATGTAAAATAATTTGACAAATGCTCTTGAAACAACTCGTCCACTTTGTTGGCATCAATTCCTCCCCGGCAGTTAACAATTGCACCCCCAGCAATTCGGACAGGTACAACCTGGTGGACGTTTCTTGTTGTTGGCATTGCCGGTATAGATTCTTGGTGATCCACTACTCCAGTACACATGTGAAGGCACTTGCTCAGCTGGCTCTGTTTGGGGTCTTTTATAGACTGGACACAATGAAAATCATCTATAATGAGCAGGAGGAAGTTGTTGTTCTGTTGGGGAGGAAATTTTTAACTGGATCAGTGTACATCTATGGACTGATAAATTAGAGTCATTTTACTTAAACCGTGAAACAGGTAGAAGAATACTACGCACCATTATGTATTAATTCCATTGTCTTCTTTTGTTTACCTCTTGCTATTTTGCACTCTTTGTTAATATCTGTTTCACGGTTCAAATAAAATCACTCTATTTTTGTTGTTTTTGTCTCCTTGTTACAAGGTCCTTGTGCCTTCTATTTAGCCCCTGCTTCTTTACATCCAGCCACCTCACCTTGTGTCAACTTATTGTTTTGGCCAGGGTGTTGTGCAGTGGCAGATGTTTAATAATGAATTGTTTCAGTATGTAAATACATGTACCTTTATGGCACTCTCAACGATCGCTTGTGTCTTGTGAATGCTTTTTCCAGACAATCCTTTTTTTATGATTTAGCACACTTCTCGGGTGAGTGCTAAACCCCAGAAGTGAGCCAGCTGTCAAAGCATCATCACTGGCACCATGAAAGGACAAGTGCAACCCACAATCTTGTTGTAAGGGATTGTTTTTCTGTTGAAAACAAACAAGCAACACTTATGTCTATTACACACCATAGTGTTTAATTTAATTTAAGTGTCTTCCTAAAGTATGGTTCCTGCTATTATTATTATTATTATTAATATTATAGTCTATTTTTTTTTTTAAATCTATGAATAAAGTTTTGTTTTTATTATTATTAAATCATTATTACTATTATTATTATTACTATTATTATTATTATCATTATCATTACCATTATCATTATTAGTATTATTATTTATTTTATTTTTTATTATTATTATACACACTTGGTTTCTAAAGTAAGACAGCTGATGAAGCAGTGCCACAACTCGCAGTCTCAGTATTTCATGTCTTTTCTTAGAAAGCTGTTGTTTTTCATCATTCTTGACTAGACACAAGGCACGGTTGAACAATCCTGGGGTGCACTTGTTGGCAAATTTTTCCATGTCTGCAGGGTCGTATAGCCGCTGCCCTCCATCCTTGTAATGTTTAGTGAGACACTTGTGGAACGTTTTGAACTGCTCATCAAAAGTTGGCTCTGAAAATTAATAAAAAAATATTTCTATTAAAGGTTGAAACTAGTCGTCTTTGTTTTGAATGTGTGGAAATTAAGAGTATGTCAATACAATACCTTCTAGCTTGTTGCATCTTTCTTTTAATGCTGCATTTTCGCGCTGTAATGTGGTGATTAATTGTTTTGCCTCTGCTAGCTCATTAACACTCTGCAAAGGGGCGGTCTGAGAGGTTCCATCCCTCCAAGTTATTTTCTTTTCTGGGGTAGTACATAGGACTGAAGTAGTACATTTTGTCTACAAATGTATAGGGCAAAATTTAATGCAAAATATGAATATTTTCTAAAACAAAACTAAGAATGTGTGATCTGTTTCTGTACATTTTGACTGTTGTTTGAGTGTAAAAGAAACATACCTTTCTCGTAGTAGGGGGTTTGTAGAGAGCGTGGTTGGTAAATATGGGAGCTTCGTCCACGAGATTTAGGTGGCCTGGGCAAAGAAATGCGCCTCCTTGGTAGTTTTCAAGGTTTGTTGCCACGGTGAGAATCCTCTGCGGACATGGCAGTAAATTGTTCCTTTGCGTGCAGGCATTTTCACTCGGAAAACAGCACCTCCTTTGACTTTCCACTTGCAGTTTTTTTGCATGACCAAAACATAGCCAAACCGGCCTAGAGTAGCCACGTGAAACAGCCTCTTTTCCCGAATAGTAATTAGTGGCGACCCAACACTTTTCTGACACGCTTGTTAATCTGGAGCCACGTTCACAAACATTTTCCATTATTTAATCAACTTTGGACGTTCTTTCCGCCGGAAACGCACGCAAAAAGACCGGAACCTGACAGTGAAGCGGTCGGTAACTATTTTTGGACATTTTTGAAGCTTTTTGAAGCGGGAAAAAACGAGCGGCGTCTCCAGTTTCATTCATAATTTCGCGCGCAAAGCATGAGGCCGGGAAGCTGGCGCCTACCAGTCAGTAAGTGGACACAAGCCGTAGGCGAAGAGTTTGATGTTTACAAATCTTTTCCTTTTTTTACTTGTCCAAGGAAATAGATTTTTGCGCTGCTATCTACCTTCTAAGTGCAAGAGGATCGATCCTTTTAGAGGTAAGATTGGCTGTACATTTGTGGAAGCTTCTCACCGGCGATTACGTTCGAGTGTTGTCACCGCGAGGGGGATGCAAAAACAAAAAACAGCAAGCCACAGAAAAACGTACTGTTCGATTTTTTTACGTATTTCTTATTTTGCTTCTTGGCTTTTGGCCTTTTGGTTGGTCGAATTGTGAACCTTAAATACTCCACCTGTTTCTTATTTTTGCAAATTGTTTAAGAGCTATTGGTCGTATGATGTCTCTATGAACTACACACTGTCCCGCGCATTTTCAGCAAGCACCCTAAAGAGTATTCCTAATCTGATTTCGCTACAACTCTTGACATCGCCTGTCAATGAGTTCTAGTTTGGGGATATCAGATCATAATCACCGAACTAGTCATGGTTAACTATGTATTTGGCTTCAAACTTTGCTCTTTTTTGTAGACTACTTGATTCGTTGTAAGATGGTCAGCGGAGAGCACAAACTGCCGCGAAAACGGCAACCAATCAGCGGTTTTTCTGCCCTGCTACCCCGTTCTAGAAAACGCCTCTGAAATGGATATCCCGTTCTAAATCAGGAGCTTCAAAATCACGACCCAGTTGGGCGGCACATACCCGTATAGGTTATGTATGAAAGTACCCTCCCCGGGCCGGGGGGGCACTTGGGTATTTTTTGGGTGGGTATATGCCGCCCGGGACTCCAAAATGGCACCCCGTTCTAAAACAAATTTCCCCTAAAATTGATACCCCGTTCTATAATTCGCCCTTAAACTGATACCCCGTTCTAGAAATGGGCCAATTTTTTACACTCCGTTCCAGGGTGCAACAAGAGTACAACGGTTTGCTTGTTGACGCATTCAACCGTATTTTTAAAAGCAATCTGTCCTTGAATAATTTCAAATGGCTGCTTACAAAACTGGAGCTTTCGTGCGTTCGAAATAATATATATACCCCGTTCTAGAAAACGCCTCTGAAATGGATACCCCGTTTTAAATCAGGAGCTTCAAAATCACGACCCCGTTAGGCGGCACATACCCGTATAGGTAATGTATGGGAGTATCCTCCCCCCGGGGTTGCAACCGTCCCAAGAGAAATTGAAAACAATGCTTATGCAAAACTTTGGGAGGCAAATAAGGTGCATTATGGTAGATGTTCAAGTGGCGTATAGCTAAGAATATTTGGTTGCTTATTTTGGTGGTCACGTTGTCGTACGTCTGCCCGCCCGAGCAAGCCTGCGTGGCAGGCATTTGAAGAGGAAGGAAAAGGGGGTTTTGGGCGCCAGAGAATAGGCCTTGGTGGATAACACCCTCCTCGGTCTGCAGAATTCTTCATATCCTACTCAGCCTCGTTCAATAATTGCTAATTATTACCAGTCGTTGTACATTGGCCTATTGGCCTTCCTGGCTTCCAAGGTGTATTTGATAAAAAAGGGCACCCAAGAGGAGACTTAATGAAAGTGCCCTCCAGAGTGGAAATATTTTTAAACGTCGGATTCTAGGAGAAGGTGTGGACGTATGAAAACGGAAATTTACGGAAATGACTGTTTCCGCGCGGAATTGCAAAATAAATTTCACTGCCACCATGGATACCATGGAAACGCCAGGCCCCGCCACCAAACCTTTTTTGATACCCAGACATGAGTCTTTTTGCAGGTGAAATGTTCAAGTTTATTATTTCATTTAAATTATAAATTTCTCAATGGGAGCGTGGCTTTTAGCGCTGGCTAAGTCTATATATTACTTGACCCTTGAAACAGTTAATAACAACTAGTGCAAAATAGCTACTAATAGACAAAAGAAGACAATATAATTAGTGCATAATAGTGCGTAGTATTCTACTACCCATTTCACGGGTTAAGTAAAATCGCTATAAACATGCTCACTAACGATAACACACAATAAAATACAAAAAAAAGTTTTAGGTTAGAATAATTTGACAAAACAACTAAGGTAGAACATTCAGCTTATTCAGAAAAAATCAAAACTTATTGTTTCGTTAATCCTTTTTTTGGAAACAAGAACAATATTTAAACGTTGATACAAATAGTCATAATATAAATATGTATTTACAAAAATTTAAAATAGTTGCCTCAATACCACAACCACATAACAGCCTGCATGTTTACAACTGACTTTTTTCAAAACATTCGAATGTGATCAGACTGTTAAAGGGCAATAAAAGGATAGGTTCAGATTAGAGACATGGGGTTGGGGGGGGGCAGTGAACCTACAGCAATACAGTCGACTCCCGATAACTCGAACCTTCAAGAGAAATCGAAAAAAGTTCGAGTTATCGGGAGTTCGAGTTATCGAGAGCTCGAAGAAAATAGCCGGAAGTAAGGTGAACAACAGTTTTTAATGTACAGTGAACGTTTTAATCACATTTTATTGCAGAAATGTTAAGTGACAATTGAAAGATGCTTTCAGATTATAAATCAGAACGTATAACGTAACAAAACATAGTCTAAATAGAGCCTGCGTTTTACTGTTTTGAGAAGTAATGCTGTTTCACGTTAGATTTGTGAGTAACAACATCAGCCTCCACTAGTGACACTAGTGAACTATGTCTGAAACTCGTCAATGGGACTTCAAAATCCAATGTTTCGGACGCCAGTACACCATTTTTCCCGACTTTTTAAGCGCTCAAAACATGGTTCGAGTTATCGAAGGTAAAATTGTATAGAAAATGACCTGAGGGGAAACGAAAATTGGTTCGAGTTAGCGGGAGTTCGAGTTATCGAGGGTTCGAGTTACCGAGGGTAAAATTAGAGTAAATGTATAGCGGAAATCCAGGGGAAATCGATTTTGGTTCGAGTTAGCGCGAGGTTCGAGTTAGCGAGGGTTCGAGTTATCGGGAGTCTACTGTACTTACTGTTTAAGAAAAACAAACACAGAAAGGAGTGAAAAACAACTTTTGGTTGGCACGGTGACGTCAACATGAGCATTGCTATTTCACACGCGCGAACGCGCAACGCGCTGCTGATCATTGAACATAAATTATGCAAAACGCGTTGTAAATTATTCAGCTTGAAAATTGCATGCAGTATGGGGTCGTAATTCTTTGTTGTTAACTTTTTCTTCTTCCTCTACGCAGTGTCCACTTCCTGTAACTTCAGTCTCCGGAGATGCGTGAATGTGTCTCAACGCTAGTAAGATTCCTGCATTTTAATTTCAGGAAAGGGAAAGATTGAGGGCATTGTCCTTTTCTCGGTTTTATGCATCAAAGATCAAACGACTTCATGAAACTTAACCTCTTGCCAAGTAGCTCCAAGTTACTGGTGTCCAACAAAGCGTTATGTCGGATGATATTTATATTGATGTGAACTACCTCACTGAGTCAGAAAGGGATACAATTCTCCAAGTTCTTTCAAAAGACGAAGAATTAAGGAAGCAAGAAAAAAAGAGAATCAGGTATATTGTGCTGTAAATTATTTACACGGTCAGCTTGCATGTTAATTTCTGCTTTGCACTCATCCTCTTGCAATTGTCCATTTACTGAAAGGGTTAATTGTTTCCTCTTTTGACAAATCCTTTTTCCTGTAGCAAGTTAAAAACTGAACTAGATGAGATAAAGAAGAGAGGGGCCAGCGAAGAGGAAATTCGTTCGTCCCGCATTTGTGCAAGATGTCGCTCGCCTCTGGGGGTTGTATTCAACAGCGGAGCTCTCTGCCGAAAATGCGAAACGCGAGTGTGCAAGGGATGCCGAAAGGAATATTCTACTTCTTCTTGGCTCTGTGTTTTGTGTGCCAAAATCAGGTGAAATATCCTTTGATAATGTTTAATCTTATCAATAAGTAATTTAACAGGTCGCCTTTGTTAAGTCTGAAGCTTGATTGGGGGTTAAAAATGGTCCGAAGTTGCTGGATTTTTTTCCCAAATGAGGTTATTTTGAAATTCTGGTGATACTGTGTTGAGGATAGCGTTATTATTTGTATTTGTTTCAAAAAATCGAAAAAGATCTTTCAGGGGTAGCAACATATCTACCGGGCGTACATCGGGAAATATAAATTGTTATAATTTCACTCGGGTGTTTAGTGTTTACAAATTTGAAAAGGTTTTTGTTGTGAACTAGTCCATGGAGTGTTCCTTAAACACACGTCATCATTTTTCCCCGTCGATAAAAGTGCGTGGTTACTTTACATTTATTACGGGAGAGTTTTTCATGTTTCTTTTATTTCTTCCGATTGTAGTGATACACTACTAGGTAGATATATATATATATATATATATTGACATCGCTTGTGGGATTTAAATATTTTTACTATCACGGTTTCCGCTTTAATTTATTCACACAGGTCTTCATAATAAGAAATAATTGAAATATTTGTCATTGCTGAAAGATGATATTTACTGACGTTATTAATGGATAAGCAAATGACCTGCATATTAACCGCATCAGAATGAATATATTTTAAGTATTTTACATTGTAATCCCAGGAAAATACCCATACTTTCTCCATGTAAGGGACCTTTCCCAAGGCTTCTTACCCTCTGTGAATTTATTTTTCTTTTAATTTTGTGGTCTTTGAGACCCTCCCCCCTACCCCCCCTTGTGTGGGGGATGTAGGTAGAATTTCTGAACCCACCCCATAATAAAAATTCCTTTACATAGAATATTTTTGTAAGTTATTATGTTGTTCAAGGGAAAAAATCATAGATTAGTTTCAATTTCACCCCACTAGCAGAGCATTATTTATTTTCTTTTTGCATTACAGAGATCCATATTCATTTTTTCTAAGAGTCGTCAGCCAGGCAAGTAAACCTGATGGCACACTTGCCCAGTTCCAATTTGAGTTGCCCAGACAAAAGTGCAGAATTATATAAAAGAATGGCGAAAAAACTGCGTGCAACTTGAACATTTCTGAGAAAGGCATTTTATTTCCGATACAGTTACTGAGAAGGGTTGACTATTAAGTACAACGGACTGCAGGCCTTGGCTAAACAGGGTTTATTTATGCTTTACAAGTAGCCACCCGGTCGGTCAGTTTGCCATGAAGGCAAGACGTGGTGTGCTTACGTTTTCCCTTGATAAGGCAGCGGCTAGCTAGCGGCTCCTGCATCACCTTTTTTTTCCTGTTGAAGGCAGCGAAAAGTCTTCTAAAAAATGCCACATCTTGATCCATGTAAGGCACCGGCTTCTGCTTCACCTTTTTTTTTTTCTACCGTAGTCGATGAAACGTCTTCTAAAAAACACCACATCTTGATGAGTGCTGTCACATTTCCTATGAATGCCTTCTGAATGCAGTACTTCACAAAAAACTGAGCTTGTGATGGTTTTCATAGAAAATACTGCACCATTAAAGATGGCACCCAAACTTACGATTTCATTGCAGACAAAAGTTGCTTAATTGTTATTCACCATTATTTTAAAAGTTTTAAGTGGATGAGAAGTAATCAGAACACGAGGAAAATGAATAAAATCATATAAGAATTTTTGAAAAGATTTTGTGGTTGAGCAAAACCTCACTCGTCTGAAGAGGAATTGAAGTTAATCGTCCAAACAAGACTGTAGTCCTTTGGACGACCCGACGGCCGGGAATATGGATCCCTGATATACAACATGAGGAAATTTGTTACACCTGCTGATGGGTATTTTGCATAGTTGACTTGTTTAATATTATGCAATTAATTATGCTAATTATGCTTTATTAGATTATTATATCAAAGTGCCACTAAACAGTTCATCCAATGGCTTTTTGTACCCTGTGTAGCAGTCACCATATTGGTTCTTATACTGGGACTGATAAAAGATTATTACCTGATAAGTTCTTAATATGATGTGTGTTAGTGTAACTTGGATCCTGTTGATAATTCATTTTATAGGGAAGTTAGAGCTGAATCAGGAGCATGGTTTTTTGAGGAAGAGCGAAGGAGAGGTGACAGACCACAGCTCTATGGCTCTGCTTTGGTACGTGCATCCTTCAGACGGGCAAAACCTGCATCTTTGCCCAGAAAAGGTATGTTATTTTCCAGGCACCAGTTGTTCAAAGGGTGGATAACGTTTTCCACTGAATAAATCCCACTATCCTCTGCCTGGGTAACACAATTGGTTACCCTATCCTCTGGATAGTTATTTATCTGACCCCTTTTGTTCAAAAGGTGGATTAGGCTATCCACTAGTTAAATCTCTATGTAGTGAATAATGAAATTTATTGATTTCCGTAATACTTAATACTATTCACTGGATAGTGATTTTACCCAGTGGATAGTGCTATCCAATGTTTGAACAACTGGGGCCGGGTGGATAGCGTCATTCAACTTTTGAACAACTAGGCCAAGGAGGGTAATCCAGGTTCAAAGTAACCTGGACAATTTAAAAGGGGAAAAATAAGAATAACTACAGACTGTCCCTCAAAAAATCTTTGGGGCAATTTTATTTAAGCAAACCTCAAAAAATCCTGTGAAACAAAATTATCCCCCTCCCCGAAGAAAAGGCATTTTTTCTATTTTTTTTATACATGAAAAAGAATCCCAACTTCAGTCTAGCAACTCAGTAACATTCTTAATTATTGTGTTGCCCCAAAATCATTAATTTCTAACCCCCAAAAGTTCCTGATTTTACCTGTCATTTTATATCCGGATTGAATCCATCCTGACCTCACCTGCCGGTGGTCACGAGATATCAGGGTTTATTCTAGAAATTGGCCAATCAGGGTCAAATGGGCCCCCCTCTGTAACATTTGGGGGCCCTTTTTTAAGAAATGGGGTCCAAGAAAGGGGGTCCCCCAAAGGGTATTTGAGCTTATTGGTACAGACTGTCATTGAAATTATCATTTACAGACTTGCAAGTACTGAACATGAGGTTAAAATGAATCTAATGCTTTAATCATGTTAATGAAATAAGCTTCTTTCAAAAAAATAGTACTTATCCTTGGGTCTAGTTTTTGTGCCCCATTTGACACAGCAACATAAATTTTATGCAGCCTTTTTTACAAATTGCGGCTATATCATGGTAGTTTTGACTTATTTTACAGCAGTAGTCAAAGACGTGGAGCCAAGTTCACAACCTGTGATCACACTAAGCCTGGAAAATAATGGTCGCAAGCTTCACAGACCAGTTCCAGTGCACATGTCTCGTCTGGTGGAGAAAGAGACGGAAGAAGAGGAAGAAGCAAAGACTGAAGAAGCTGAGGTAAATCGAAACTACAAGCAATATGTGAAAGCCAACCCAATTCCACAAAAAGAGTATGAAGAGCCAAGGGAGAGACATAAAAAAGACTCTTCAGCTTCATCACACAGCAGCTCTACATCAAGAGGTTAGGACCTCACTTTCAGTAAATGATTGTTTTAGATCACATTTGTTTTATCGTGCCCAAAATGTCTAAAATGATTTGTGCTTGAAAACTGTTGCTATGCAAATAATGCAAGTTGGCTAAGGATTTTATTCATCTTACATACGGAATACCCTAATTACATGTGTATGCATGTGGTTTATACAGGTCAAAATTATGTTCAGGTTACAATTTTTTTTACTTAGGTTGACTCTCCTAGGTAGGTTGTCTCCTAGCCATGATTGCCCTGACTATTTATGAATAATTATTAGGCCAAGGAGACAAAGGAAGGTGAGAGTCAACCTGAATTTAATTTTGACCTATAACATAGTCATGATAAATTAGCCATAAATTTTCCAGTATGGTTCAAAAATCGTAAGTATTTCAAATATAAGCCAAGGGTGTTTATTCTAGTTTGTAGTGTGCTGTTCTGTGGACCTGCCACTGACTGTGCTTTGAGCAATTGGCATTAATATTAATCTGTTGTTGTTAAAAGCCTTCCATTTAATATTGCTGGTTGATTATGGTTTGCTGTCTTGGCATTGTTATCATATCTTCAAGTTTTAGCCGGTTTCTAAGTGATTGGGTGTCTGAAGTGTGTCTACCGGTATATGAAGACTGGCACTATAATAATGAAAAAAAAATAGTGCCCTATGCCAATGATATGCAGGTCGCTAAGAGATGGTCACTCATTGTCTCTTCTAGTAATTAGTGGAAAGGAGGAGGGGTGGAATATCATGATTAGGCGGTGATAATATACTAGTAGTTTCCAATGGAAGGTGAAGTTCTGTGAGTAAAGCATGGCATTTCAAATTGTTTGAATCAGTTGCAGTGTATTTTGATTGTTGATATTTTGACATTAACATGTGCATGTAATGCAACACGGCACGTAGACAAGCGATAAAAACTGAACTTTGAACCAAAATAAGTGTTTGTATCAAGCTATCTGCATTGCATAAAAGTCCGTGAGGGCTAATCAGCCTATTATTTGTCTGAAACCTGTCCACAATAAGGTGCGAGGGATGGAGTGAGTGAAAGAGTGAATTCCCAATCAAGTTCAATAACTGGTTGATTACGCTTCACGAGCATATCAAATCATGTCAAATCATTTTCAATCCTTGCTTCTGTCGCGTATAAAATGTTTTACTACCAACGGAGAACAAACCTTGTCAGACGTTCCAGAAAAACTCTTAATTACAAAAGCAATTTATCAATTAAATAAATACAACAAAGCCTGGCTTAATACAAATTAAGCCAAAACACTGAATTTATTTACTGTAGAGTTCCAGGAATCGCTTCAAATATTCTGAGAAACATATCGCTACAATTCACGGGAATTTTTTACCTTCACTTGCACTTGTACTCTTCGCTTGCAAACATGTGGCTTTCCACATGAACAGGATTTCTGTGCCATTAGTTTTCCACAACCCGCATTATCCACAGTTGAGTGTTCTAGGATGTTCTAGTTGTGTTCTAGAGGATACAGTATTTACTTTTCCCTTTCGAGTGTAATTCTGAATAGTTTGAGTGCGAACAAAAGAGCCTCAATTTCGAGGGCCATACTTGAAATCGAGGCCATTGCGGTGATGAACATACATACAAACGTATTTACATCCAAGATAGCTCAAATGCGGATGGTATTGGGCACAGGCAGCCCAGGCTGGTTAAAAACGCAACCTGAAGTAGTCTTCTGCAAAGCCTGGTGGCTTCACAGCAATTAATTCCCATAACCTTTCCTCTTCTTTATGTGTTAAACAAAGCTTGTCTGGGGTCAATGAGCTGACAAAGAAGGCTTCCTGACCCATCAGATGAAATATGAATGTTACGTTAAATGTAGCGAAAAAAATTAGCGCGTGGTCTAGGTGACCACTCAGATGGTCTACATGACTCACCGCTTGAAAGAATTAACTGGAATGCTGTATAGACTGAGTTGGAATGTGACTGTAAATGGAGCTTTTTAACTAACACTATAGCTGTGCAGTGACACTCCTCATATTATCTCTAGTAGTCTGGTTTCTGATTTGCAGAAGCGGGTTGCGTTCAGAGGGTTCTTCAAAGTGCAAAGCATCAAGCCGGAGACCTTACAGACACTTTGCCAAAATTTAATGCCTCCAAACAGCAATTTAAAATGTTTAAGCTCTAACGCACTAATTTAATTAAATTTCACGTTTTTACAGTAACACTGTGCAGACTTAATTAACCACATAATATTGCTCATAAGCCATATTCAGCCCAGCCATTTCCTTCTGTATGGTCAAGGCTATCAATGAACTGACAGTGAAATGTGCCACTTTTTGATGGTTAAAAATACCTTGAAACAAAAATGTTGGTGATTATTATTACCTGATTTATCAATATGATCATTTGAGGATTGTTAGTACCAGTAAAAGTAAAAGATTTAAACCTAGCCCACAATCATTTAACTAACATCACATCATAACATAATTACACAGGCTCACCAGTGCATGATCTTGGTAATGATGCTGTGGAATCAGTGCATGAGGAGACTGTTTTTGATCATTTGGTGTACCAACAGAACACCAGAGATGAAGCAAGTGAGGAAATGTTTGAGGACAAAAGTGATGATACTCCTGAGTATAATAACACCAATGGTCACATTGAAGATGAACTTCAACATTATGAAGAAAAAATTAACAAATGGGAAATTGAAAGAGAGGAAAATGAGTATACAAGTGAAGAAAAAGTGAGCAAATGGGAGATTGAAACAGAGGAAAATGAGTTTACAAGTGAAGAAAAAGTGAACAAATGGGAAATTGAAACAGAGGAAAGTGAGTTTGCAAGTGAGGAAAAAGTGAACAAATGGAAAATTGAAACAGAGGAGAGTGGGCATAGAAGTGAAGACAGGAAACCTGAAGCAGCCGTTGAAATTAAAACCACTTGGCATGAAGTAGCACATGAATGGGCCAATACAGGGGACATGAATGAACAACCATTACAAGACACTTACCCACCAAAGGTGCTCCTTGATGTTAGACCAGCTTCCCCAGATTCTGAGACTACTGGAGAATTTTTCACTCCCCTTGTCACCCCACTTCACTCCCAAACTGGTACACCAGCACAGAGTGAAGAAAATTTGACCTCTGGATCAGAGTTGTATGAGGATGCAGGTGAAGCCAGCCCTGTTAAAGGGAACACAACTCCTGTTGTCGAGTTGTCTGCGCAGGATGGTAAGAAAGTCCTCTTTGAAGAGGATATAAATCACTACATCCTAGCTGGCCAGTAAATGTAAAATCTGCTGTCAGTGTCTCTGGCAAAGTCAAACTGTTGATCATGTAGCCATGCTCATGCACTATTGCTAATGGTTGTTAAAATTTTGCTTAGTTCCCTGTTAAGGGTCCACATTCTCCTTTCTCATCTTCTTTCTTATCTTCTTGGTGATTTGTATAGGTAATAGCATGATTTGTAGTGATATTTGGCATAAATACCACAAGTGATATTTCAAAATTGTTATACGAAGTTTCACGAGCCATTAGGCAAGTGAAATTTGAGACAATTTTGAAATATCAGAAGTGGTATTTATGCCAAATATCACGTTCAAATCATGCTATTATTTGTTTATACTACTACCCACAAAAGGTTTGTAATTTTCACATGTAGGTATTTCAAATTAAGCTGAAATACCACTGCTCTAAGCCAATCAAAAATTTTCCATGTAGTAGTATAAGGAAGGTAATTTGTGACCACTGAAAATATGCTCAAGCTCATGTCTGTGTCAATTTTCTTGTACAAAGCATTACCTTGGTGATTGAATTTTCTACAAAAAAGCATAAATTTAGCCTTTATCTTCATTAACAAAACAGTCCAGCCATTTGCCTGCAGAAATAGAGTCACAGGTGTTTTTCAGGCTTGCAAGCACTGCAGAAAAATATCCCCTGTTCTGCGGGCTATGTAGTCATGTGTAACAGTGGCAGGTCTTTCAGAAAAAAATATTAGAATTTTGTAGTTTTTCAACTATTATCTCATTTAAGTGAGAATTCCAGGGCCTAAGTAAGTGTTAGATTCAGTTTTCCAATTTAGATTAGGGAACTAAGGGTGCTTATCAGATGACCAGACCGGTCATTTTGGAAATGAAATGGGCATGAAGAGTCATTGCTAAACCCATCACTGCTAGACCCAGCAGTGATGGGTTTAGCAATGACTCTGGGTACGGTATGTCGGAATAGGCTGTTCTGACAAGACTTTTTTTATTAAAATCAATTCAGACAAATAGTGAGCGCGATAAGAGAGTAAACTTTTTTTCCTGACTTTTTATTGTCATTTAGTTCCTACCATACATCCCAATTTGCATTTCACCTATCAGGGCTGTTGCTAAGATTTCAAGTTGCCGGGTAAATTTACAGTAGGTGGGGAACTGAACAGCCAAGGAGTTGTTTTGGTCTCATTTTCCTTTTGTTTCCTACAAAATTAGCCGGGGCTCCTGCTCATAGTAGCTGGGGGAAATCCCCATCCCCCGGCCCTTAGCGACAGCTCTGACCTATGTCCAGGGGCAAATCAAGGAATTCTGTTCAAGGGAGGGAGAGGAGAAGGGGAGCTGGGTAAGGAGGGGGGCCGGGGGCGGGTCTTTTTGAAATGAAGTAAGGGTATATGGGAATAGAAAAGAGAGGTGGATCTGGGGTACAAAAGGGGTTGTTTGGGCAGCAGAGGATCATCCGCCACCACCATACGATCTCTGGGATCCTCCCCACCCCCTGTATGTCAGTGGTCTTTCGTATGACACCTGCCAGAAACCGACCTTTTCTACCATCTCACCTGTAACTTACTGTTAACTCAGAACAACTTGAACACGCGAAATATTTGAGGAGTGTTGACTGTGTATCGACAAATTACAATGGAGTTCATTGCTCAGGAGCAAACCTCTAAAGCTCTAACTGATTACCGTAGCAGCTGTTTGCGCTTAAGTGTTCTTGTGCCTTATTGGCTTTTTCTTCGCATTTTCAGTACAATAACATTTCATAAATATTTGTGATGATCACGTTTCGGCGCGTGTTGAAAGTAAATAAGTGCGTGTTATTTTATTGACTTTTTTGTAACTAACTTATAACAGATGAAGGAAAAATCGGAGATGTGACCATTGCAAACCCCCAGATAACCTGCAGTACATTCTCTGATGATGGTGCCGAACCACAGGACGGACACAGGACACCCACTCAAGAAGACGACATGGAAGACATCGACCAGGCGTTTGCTAGTTATGAGCGTGATCACCCAGACATGGGCAAGCAGAGAACTCTTCAAGAACAGTTGAACATCATTAGCATGGTTAGTTCTACAAAACAATCACTATTAAACGGTGAATCGGACTTATCTGCGGAACTCGTTCTCTTGACCGCTCTTCTTAAAGGCGTGCGTATTGGCAGTTCTTTTGGCTTGGCAGTTGATTTAGAGAATGAGAAATACATAAAAATGAGCGTCTAGTTTCTGATTTATATATGTGTAGCTCGGCTGTGGAATTATACCAAAAGGTTTGATGCACGTGCTGAATTGTTCGCTGTCGGGGTCGTAGTTGCGTAACCTCTCTGCTATCTGCTGATCAACCGTCCTAGATTTTCTTGAGTAATCAACACGCGTCACGGTAGATATGCCCGGTTGATGTGTGACAAATAGTCAGAAACAGGTCGGGAAAACTTTGTTACGTTTCTGCTTTCCCGATGTGTCCCGGTTTCTGCGCATGGTTGGCGATTATTCCAGATAGTTTCAGCCTGTGTAACCGGCGGGATCGTTAGTGCGAGCAGAGTCTTGGCAGAGGAGGAGCTGAGAAGCCGTGCGGAAAATGGAAAGGAGACGCGTTGGAAATTTCTTGCGAGAATGGCGGCTTTGCTGCCAAGACTCTCACACACGCAAAACAATTCTGCCAGCTACGCAGGCTAATGTAGTTTTAGCTTAATAACTCCTCGCAAATTATTTTCCAAACAGTTGGGCAAAACCTTGGTTGGTCCGCGTGGAAAACAGATCACGATCGTGTAGGAGTTTCCCACAAAATGAAAATCACGCTTAACGATGCTCATTTGGCATTTCAGGGTAGCCGTGAGAGTATAGTAAGCTATTATAGTGATGCAGGCGAAGGCCGGTTTGGTAACATACCCGTCACTGGTGAAGTGCTGTTTGGGCTGAAGTACGACAAACATAAATACCAGCTGGAAGTACAGATTCACAGAGCCAAGGGCATCGCTGCTGCAGACGAGAAGAGAGGAAAATCCGATCCGTAAGTCATCCGTTCAATAGGCTCTTCGCAGCTGGTGATTTAAATGGCACAAAACCGCCATGCTGAAGAATAAAAGATGCACTGGGAGAAATTACCGTTTTAAATGATGTGAGCTCTTCATTTATTACCTCTTCGCTAATTACCTGAAACCAGAGGATTTAATTATTCAGCTTAATTATTTAATTATTACCTACTTACTTAATTATTTCAGCTTAATTATTCAGCATTTTGCAGAGCAAAATTATTTTAAATTTTGTTTTAAGTATCGCAATTTCTTATTTATGTATCATATTTAATTTTTTTATTTATATTTTTATTTTTATTTCTTAACTCTTCTTGATGTGTAAAACGTCGAAGCGTAATAAAGTAGATGTAGATTTGTCTTGTTCCAGTGCATCCCGTGCTCTCCAGCATGGCGGTTTTGTACCTTGTGAATGACTAGCTGTACGAATCACAAACAGGATTTTTGTTTCTTACTGTACAAACTAAAGCCTGTAAAGTAAATAACTAGGTGCATCGTTTCTCGAACACGTAGAGCATAATAAATGGCAGACCACGTCAAGCTGCTATTCGTGTTGTTCTTGTAGAGAAGTTACACCGTAATTTTTAGGGAGTTATTATAACTCCAAAAATGGAGTATAAATTTTAGGTACAGGATTTTTTTTTTTTTTTTGGGGGGTTACTTTAACTCCTAATTTAACTCCGAATTTGGGGTCATTTTTACTCCTGAAAAAGAGTTCTTTTTACTCTCAGTGTGGAGTTAAAATAACTCCGAAATGGGGTTATTTTTTTTCCTTACATGGGTTGTTTTTACTCATTTTGGAGTTAATTTAACTCTGAAAGTGGAGTAAAAATTTTAGGTACAGGATAACTCCTTTTTGGGGGGTTATTTTAACTCAATATCTGGGGTCACTTTTACTCCTAAAAGAGAGTTCTTTAAACTCCTTTTTGGAGTTAAAATAACTCCCCAAAAAATAACTCCACGGTAAGGAGTTAAATTAGCCCCAATAGAGGAGTTATTAGAACTCCTTGAAAATTACTGTGTACTTAACGTATTAAGTCTGGGAAGAAAACAGCTAGACTTGACCCTTTATTTGTTTTCAAGATAGACACCACAGTCGAACCTCCATGTGCGACTACCTCTCGCACGCGACCACCTCTTCAAAACACCGAAATGCTTAGTAGCGATCACTAAATAATTATTCTTATTTCGGGTGGTCGCTTACGGGAGGTTCGACTATACTCGTTATTTGAATTAACTTCCACAGATATGTAAAAGTTTACCTTCTACCTGACAAAACAAGAGGAGGCAAACGCAAGACGAAAGTCAAGAAAAATACATTAGATCCAGATTTTGACGAGATTCTTAAGGTGAGTTTTTAAAGCTTCTTTGTGAAGGTTTCTCGGCGCCATGATTGAGACTGTAGATCGAGGGTGGGTGACCGATCCAGATATTGGGGGCGGCAACTTCAGGGTTTACTCTAGGAATTGGCCAGTGATGAGCTAAGCTCCATGCACCCCTGCCTGAAATTGTGGAGGGCCATTACTCAAGAAAGAGGCGTTAAGGTACGGTAAATCGGGCAACAAAAAACGTGCAACTTGTTTTGCAGCATTGCTGCAAAACGAACGAGTTGTATAGCGATGTTGCGCGTTTTACCACCCACGAAAAAAAACCTTGCGACCTTTTTGGTTGCAAGACAGGTTCGAACGTCGGTGGAAAAACGCGCAACATCGCTATACAACTCGTTTGGCAACAACGTTGCAAGACAAGTTGCACGTTTTTTGTTGCCCGTTTTACTGAAGCTTTAATAACCCTAGGAACTGGCCAGTGAGGGACAGGACCCCATGCATCCTCTCCTGAAATTGTGGAGGGTTCTTACTCAAGAAAGGGGCCTAATATAATCGTGTTATCCCTTAACCGTTCAGTGTTATGTCTGCTAGCCTAAATGATCTAAGATATTTTATAATTCTTTCTTTTCTTTTTTTTTTTTTTGACTGCAGTTTAAAATAGGATATGATGAAATGTTGACACGTACCCTTTGGCTAGCCATGTGGAATCACGACACGTTTGGACACAATGATTTTCTGGGGGAGGTGATGCTACCCCTAGACACATACCAAGAATCTGGATTCACCTGGGAAGACCCCTCGCCTAACTGGTATCCTCTGCAAGAGAGAGTAAGTGGTTTGTTTTTCTTCGTCTTCCTCTGGACGTAGTGGCAGAAACAACTGCCTTTTTCCTTTTAATCACAAGGAACTACTGTAACAGTCGTCTAAACTTTTAATAAACTTAGACCGTTAGTTGTCCCTCTTGGTTGTCGCACCTACGAGACAAATTTCTTTACAGCGCTGCAAATGGCTAACTGTATTCGACGAATTATGCCAAAAATTATGCTAGCACAATCTATCAAAGCCAAATCGTGGATAATTACTCCGCGAAAACAACCGACATTGTGCGACGCCATCCCTTCCCGGTGAAATGACGTGTGAGGAACGAGCCCAAAAATTCTATGCTGATGACGTGTCACTACCCAGATCTGGGTAGCGCGTCTGGTTTACCGAAAATTTACTTCGTCATTAGTATATAACTTCTGCGCTCTTTCCCCTGGCGTCATTTCGAGGCGAAACCATTTGTGGCATCACGAACTGATGTCTGCTGTTTCTCAACCAAGAGGATAATCTCAAAGACATTGGTTGTTTTTTGTATTTTGTGTGATTCTAGCGACCTCAACCGTCCTTGATGTCTTACTGTGGAGACCTGACAGTGTCACTGATGTTCGAACCGGGAGATGAGTCTAACAAGGACAAAAAGAAGAAAAAGAAGTCCAAGGGAAAGCTGCACGTCCAGTTAAAAGAAGCGAGAAATTTGCCCGCTAAGGATGCCAATGGATTTTCAGACCCATTTGTTAAAAGGTATATTGTTTAGTTTTGTGTTTGTTGGGAGCACTTAGTTGCCTTTCGTCCGTTAAAACTTTTATGCGGGTGGAATTGGGCCAGGATAATACTTATTATTATATGGCTAAGTCTGCTTTCGTCATGCGATTGGTCAATTTACGGTCCGTAACTTACTATACTGACCAAAATCGTAAAAGCAAATGCTCATTTCATAGCTCTAAATCTCTTTATCTCGATAAAACGGTTAAAACAAAGTTGAAAGACGTCAGTCAACCTTGAGGACTTGGACGTTGACTTCGTCCTTCAACATTTTAAACTGTGTTTATTTGTGAACGAAAGTGGTGAAGAAACTGAATCGTAATCTTATCAAAGAAGAGGATTCTAGTCAGTGTCTGAAAATTTTATGGCAGTACAGAGTTAAGAAGACGAAAATCGACAGGCACAGATTCGACACGTTTTGCATTAGAGAATACGAGCGATTCCTTCGACAAATATGATAATAAACATACCTGCACCTGATAACCTTGACAAGCTTCTTTGCCATTCGCAGTGTCTTTTTCAAAGACCAACGAAATAAAGATGGAAGCGATTTCTAACCATACACTATGTCCAGTTTTCAAAAGACTCCAGCGTCACATTGCCTAGCGAATATTTACAGTGCTCTTAGTTTTAACCGAATAAACTTTTTCAACATGGCGCATTTGCATTTTGATTTTACTTTTAGTGGAAAGCCTTTATAATGTACTATTATTTCCGTGAGCCATTTAAAACTTTCATGTTTTGACGCTTGTCAAATGATTGTAAAATCGCTTGTTCTGCATTCGTTTCCAGTCCCCCAAAGAGGAAGCCATATAATAAACATCTTATTAGCCTCGTTTTTTCCGTCCTTACGTACTGTAAATTAAGGGAAAAACTCGGTTCGTAATTTACAGTACTGACCGAAAATTCGGCTAATAAGAGGTATTAATTTCACAGTTGAAAGTTTATTTATTAGTACTGATACGCTGTTAATTTACTAAGCTTTCTAAAAGTTTACTACGTTCTAAGTGTTTGAATACTGAACTGGTGTCACTGTCTGCGCCTTTTGTCGATATAACATTCGTCAACGTAACTTTACTTCAGGAAGTTCATCATTTGTAGAAAAATGAAAAGATAGTTTCATTAACTAACTCTTTCTTACATCCTTGCTGCCACTTTTCCTGCCCATTTTATGGTAAGTGAAACCCCAGCAAGTATAACAAGAAACTTTTCAGACGTTTGACCGCGGTGGAGGCCCATCCTGGACAAACTAGCGTGTCCTAACTAATATTACGCTGTCGAGTGTATTTGGTGTGAATAAGGTGATAGCACCGGTACTGGTGCACATGCTTGTTTTAAATGTTCGCCCTCCTAGACTGTCAAAGTACCCTAACCGTGGGTCATTTGCTATAACTGAATATCTTTTCGTTTAGATGTGTTGTTACTTTTTGTCCCCTTCCCCGTTACCCTCTCATCTCTTTCCCATATATTTAATTACTACTCTTCAACACCCCCCTACCAACGACCGTCCTTGTACTCTTTATGTTTCTAGTGGTTAGGTAGCCTACGAAAACAGTCTTCTTCCCTCGCTCTTCGCCGCAAGGAACGTTCGTCATCAGAACGGAATTTCTGTCGCCGAGGCCCAGACGTCCCTCCTGGCGAAACGTCCTTAGCGGTGAGGAGCGAGAAAAAACGGGTGTTTTCGTAGTCTAGTAATTAGGTGATTCGTCGGAACCGGCCCTCCTCTTAGCGTCTGTCAGACACTGCCGGTTACTCTGTTTATAGCATGCTTGCCAGGGGTTTTAAGGGAAAGGAAAGAGTGGAGGAGTACTTATGCTCGCGAGTACATAACAGGCACGCGAGGGAGCGGAGTTCCCCCACGAGCGCGCCTTTATTCCCATTCGCCTTCAAACACCTGCTCCGCAGCTACTTCCTTTCACAATTCTCTCCTTCGTTAGACCGCGACAGAGCTGTCCACCTGGATAGTCGCTCCTACCGGGCCTCGACATTACTATATTAGAGAGCTTAAGCAACGACGACGGCAACGGCAACGAGAAAGGCAAAACAGCAACTCTGCACGTGCATCACGCTTAATTGTACCTTTCTTTGCCGTCACTGCACGACTACGACGTGAAAGTTCTTAATTTCACGTTTTATGGCGGACGTGAACACAAGACAACGATTTTCTTTTTTTGTTTTTTTGAACTTGGATACACTCCTTTCGAATTCAATTCCCGAAAAAATCGCCAATATTTGACAAATTAAAAATGTTGGAATAAGAACGATGAAGTTTAAAACAACGCGAATTCACTTTTTGAGTGAGGTTTTCGCCGCCTTTGCCGTCGTTGTTGCTTAAGCTCGCTATTATTGATAAAGAACTGTCCGCAGTCTGCTCCAATGTTTAGAATTGTGTTGTACTCCCTTTTTGTTTTATTTTCATTCATTTATTTTGGCTATGTGAGAAATCCGTGTTCCGTTGTACCGATCTGTCGATAAGTATGAAAGTAAGTCTAGCTTCCCTGCCAAACACACTTATTCAGTGCAAAGAATGGCGAAGGATAAGGTGGAGCATAACGCCAGTTTTGCCTCGTTAATTAGCATGTCGCTAATCAATGCTCAGCTTTTGACAAGGAACTGGACAGGCCTCAGTTGTTCAAAATCCATGAGTTAAATCACTACCCAGCGGCACATAAGTAGTAGGGAAACCAATTGTGTTATCTAGTGGATAGAGATTTATCGCTAAATAACTTCATCCACCTTTTGAAAAGGCAAGTGATGCCAGGTGGTTGATATTTTTCCATATTAAAGCTGTCCTTCTAGCCTCACAGCAGTAAAAAGCGACTTTATCTTCGAATTCGCTTTGGTTTAGGTTATAAGATGATCGTTTGAGTTTTAGCTCTAAGGCGTGTTAGCTTCTATTTTAAATTTAGTAGTTAACGGCCTCGTCATCTGACAATATATGTTGTTGAGGTTAGTTATTGCTCGATTTCAAGATAGTATGGGCCTTGTTTATGTTTAGTCCGCAGTGTGCAGTATGAGCGCGCGCGCATGGCATCTAGTAGCCTGCATCAGCTGTAAATTTGTTCGCCCGGAAACAGTTTTTTCTCCTGCGCGACGTTTACGGCGAAATGCTTTCCGACAGTGAGTGCTAATGTTTCGATAACAACGGCTTCATTTAACCAGGTAACACAATATGTAACTATAAGAGATTTCAAAGAGAAAACAAGTAAGGCGAGGTACAGCGGTTAGCCATCTTGATAATCTCACTTATTTTCGCTCATCCTGTGTAAAAACAGTAGTCTAGCACGTTAGAACTAGACAGCTGTGCTGTTGATGTTAACATTCCGTTTATAACCACTGCTTCAAATCCACCGCACAGTTTTTTAAAATGTTTTTATTTTTCTTACCCGTCTTGTTAGTGTGTCTTGGTTGGTTACTTGGCATCTCCAGAAACTCGTTTATTTAGTCAGTTGGCTATTAATTTCATTCCGCTGTTCGTCTGTTAAGACAGGTGATCAGTGATCCTGCCGGAATAACCCGCTTTACTCTTAACGACAACAGAGTGCAAGAACTGCGTTTTGCATAAATGTTATGCTTTCTTTCCTTTTTTTTTCTGTTTTGTTTCGTTTTCAGGTGAATTTACTCATCTTCCTTTTACAATGTTTTTCAATTCTAAATATTCACAACAAGTGCCTTTGATCAATTCGAATTTGTACGTATTTCGATTAATTTGCATAGCCAAATCTAATTCTTCACGAATATTTGCTCTTTCAAAAAAATTGCGAAATGAGCGTGAGATACTCTGCGCTGCCGGTAAAACTGTTTTTTTGTTGTTTTTGTTGTTGTTGTACCGTGTTAATGGCGTAAAAGGTTCTTTATAGGCTGGATTTTGTTTTATTTATGGTTGTAATTGAAATCATTAAGCTTACAAAAACGTCTTCTTTCGTTGTATTGAAAGCACAATAAAGCTTATATTAGTCAAAGCTTAGCGAGTATATAGCTCGGTTTCCTTGGCATATGGCACTTTTATCTTGTCAGGATACCAGTTTATCGTAAAGGGATTTGAAAGGCGACTTTTTAAGTGTTTGTAACCTTTTGTGAGAGCTATGAGGAATATTAGGAATTGTGTTTGCTCTGACACTGCTGGCAGCGTTAAAAACCTTGAATGATATTTGTCACATTATATAATTATATGTCTCTAGTGCCCATATATACACAGCATAGATATAAACTAAAGGTTCATATCTTAGAAAACAACACGGCAATATTTCCAGGACTCAGTCCTACTTTAGCTACTAGTAATAAAGCGCTATAGTTGAAAAGCCCCTCAGATGTCGTCTTGTTATGTTTTTGAAAAATGTTCAATAACATTCCCATCATTTTGAATCAACTAACCAACAGTACCTGGTTGTAATGTCGTACCCAGATCTCTTGCCTCTTGCGTTCGGCTTTGTCAACAAGAGATCTGGGTACCAGGTTAGACCCGGTTGTTCAAAAGTTGGATAGCGCTATCCACCGGATAAATCACTATCCACTGGGTAAGTATTTTACGAAAACCAATTTGCGTTATTCACTGTATAGTGATTTACCCAGTGGACAGCGCTATCCACCTTTTGAACAACTGGGGCCAGAATTTGTGCCATTGATTTATTTAGTTACAATGTTGTGATAAAAACGCCAAGGATTTTTCACGGTCAGCGAGCTCTTAACAGAGACTGCCTATTGTTATTGTCATCTTTGATTTTTGCCGCTTCTATAACCGTCTCCTTCTGATACCAAGCGAGATAAACATTTATTTCTTTTGAGACAGAGTAAACAACACAACGCGCAATTTTGGGTCCAAAGCAAAAACAGTTTGTTACCGCTATTCCATCAGCTAAAATTCTTCCTGTTTACTCCTCTCGTGCTCTTAAGGGTATTATTCAAGCTTTTACTGGCTGCTTTTAAAGGGCACGTTGACTTCCATTCCTTTAATCGAAAATAGCAAATTTTGGAAGATTTGTATCTCCTATCAATAATCTTAGCGTTTCACAGGTCTTGGATCCAGCTAGAATTAATCATAAATATCAGTATTACAAGTAATTGTTTGACAAAGCGACTGCCATTACATTCGTTTCGTAAAACGAATTCTCGTAATTCTGTGTAAATGTTCATGAGATCATGCCAATATGCCTTGTGTATATCACCTTATGAGCTCAAGTTCACTGTCAAGATCCTGTCTACGAAATGTCAAAATTGCAAATGAAAGATGTTACCCCTGAAGTGATTAGCTTTAAATGTCGACGGGAAGGCTCAGGATAAATAAGGCCGTCAGTCATGAGGTAATACACACACCAGCTGTTAAATACAGTAATTCTTCCACCCTCCCCTTTCCCAGCTAACTTCAATGCCCCATCGCTCCCGGTTTCTTCCTGTGCTCCCCCTGTTCAGTACATACCTTGTTCATGCACGTTAGAAATATACTAGAGTGATTTCACATAACCCTCGAAATAGACAGTAGACTACTACGCAGTAATTACACCCTAATTTCATTGTTATTGTTTCACAAGTTGAGTAAAATCGCGCGAGGAAAGTGTTTTATATTATGGTAATATTCTTGCCTAATACGTTTCCAAGCTTAGTCTATACGAAACGTTACTTTGTTTTGCAGCGAGTACTCTGTTTAGCTCTATTCTTTAAGAATACGTGGTTGCTGAGATGGACAGCTTCGCATCAGTTCATAAACGTCCGGTTGAAAACGTCTGTTCCGAGATAGATACCCATAAAACCTATTATATAACCCCACCCTCTCCCCACCGGCACTTCAAAGACCTCCTCATTCCTTGTTCTCTATTTACCCTGTTCAGACGTATTGGAAACAGACTGGTACTGAAACTGGTTTCTTGATCTTAAAAGAAGGTTTTTTTATTGAATATTTTGTTACCCCTGCTCTTATGTTCTACATTGCCAACAGCTACCTTCTACCAGACACAAGTAAAAAGACCAAGCGCAAAACATCGGTGATTAAAAGGAACCTCAATCCTATTTGGAACCACTCGTTCGCTTACGACAACCTGACAATCGACGAGCTCAGGAACCGCGTCTTAGAGCTGACCGTGTGGGACTACGACCGAGGTTCCAGTAACGACTTTCTGGGAGGTCTTCGACTGGGCCTTGGAAATAATACTGAGCCGTGGGACGACTCGCAGGGCCTGGAGATAGAGGCCTGGCGGCTGTTGCTTGAGAGACCCAATAAATGGCACGAGCATACGTTGAATCTACGATCAAGCATGGACAGCCAAGTAGATTAATACAATTTGTTCCTAAGGTAATTGCGGAGTACTAATGCAGCTTTAAAAGCTTCCTATACCCGCGTCAGCTGACTTTCTGCACCGTGTGCGACGATGGAGGATATCAACGTCTTTCTAACGAAAAAAAGAAGTAAAAGAACGAAGTCACGATAAACTGGTCGCCTGTGGCAACGACGATCTATCTAAATTAAAATTGTCCTTCGTTTATTGCGAATCGGAATTAAATAAAGATCATGCGTTCTATTGTAGAGCGATTTCCCCAAATTTGGTAGCTTAAATTATACAATTTTCAAAAGTCTGATAACCTTGACATTTTTGATAGTCCTTTGATGTAATTCAATTTTCTACGAAAACTTGAAATACATTTTTTACCCTGTGAATTAGTTTTCCACTTTGGTAATTTTTAAAAATTCATCGGTAATTTTTAAAAGAAAAAAAAATAGTCGGCATGCACCATTGTATGTGTGTGGTTACAATATTATTTGTCGAACAAGGTTCATTATTATATCGTTGGCATATCCAACGCACAATTAAGCAAGTTCAGAAGCGTGAAAAAGAAGGCTGTATTTATGTGCATTTATGATGTTGATAGACTGTACTGCGTGTAATATCTTTTTATTTACTGCTCACTATTTAATAGTTAACTTGTTACCTATATCCAGGTTAGTCTTTTTAAGGCTCAAAGGCCTAAGGCGGACATTGCTCCCACTGCTGAGCATACATGTGTTGTGTCATTTGGAGTTAGTTAGTCTGAAAGGACCTTCCCTTGTTAATAAAATCCAAGTGATTTCTTCCTGGTATCTTGTGATCTTTTTCCTGGTTCGTATCCTTACATCGCGGTTTGGACTTTATCATACGGGGCTTATGTGGGAGGGATATGGAACGTGTGCTTGTCCCATTATGCTATGTTTTTGACATGACGATACCTTCTGCATTAAGAGGTTGCTAGTAGGTTTTCGGGATTTTGGCTTGACGACCGAGTTTCGGGATTTCAGATGAAAAGGGGAGCGCGAGTCTGGATTAGAATTATGAGCGGTGCACGGGGTGTGGTCATTTTACGGTGCAGTATTCGGCAAATGTTCTTTTAAAAAAACTGAATCCACGTTTAAAACCAGGAATTGCAGTTTTCTTTAGTACTGACATAAACCTCTTATTCGACTTAAGGTGTCAATATTTTTTTCAAACCTTTCATCTGGCGGTGGGGACCGTACCACCTTTCCTACTACTTTTCCCGTCAGGTTTACGGGATTAATACTCGGGCTGGCTTGACTGTCCTTTTAGCCGGGAATGTCAACACGTTTATTTATCTGATGAATGTGCAATGTGCTACTCCAGCCTTTTGTTCTTCTGTGATGTAAGGATGCAAGCCTTCACTCCCCATCCATTCCTACTAAAAGCTCCACCAACAAATACAACGAAAATAACCAGATAAGGTTTTCAATAAAAATGGCTCGTGCAATCATGATAATATATAAAATAATGTAAACACATCATTTTAAAGACCATATGAAATTTATAAACGTCGTTAAATGTAAGTTGATAACCACTCTGCATCCCAGCTTATTGCATACATAAAACCACTGCTTTTGCCGCGCATTCGTAAGTGATAGAATTAATTGCATATATAAATGAGCATAGTTAAATAGTTATTTCCCTTCATAAAGTTTAAACGTTACAAGTAGTTGCTTTAATTTTGTGGTTTGTAAACGTAAACTACACTAAATGTAAGTAGTAGTCTTGCAGATAACCGATGAAGTGATCAGCGACCCATATGACATACTTTGGCTCCGTTTATATTAAGAAAACTTGTCCTGGGCAGAACAAAGAATGAGAAACAAAACTTTAGCTCGGCTGGAAAAGGTCACCCTTCTAGCCAAGCCGACTTTTCTCCATATAGACGTTTTGGCCAGCCCTTGGTCAAGGCGAGGCAATCAAAGCATGTGCGAACGCTGTATTAGATAATCAGAGCATGCGCGATCGCTCTGGGTCAACTATTTTCTTATAAAGTTGACTTGATTGGCAGGGTGAAAACTCGGGACAATTTTTCCCCATGTAAACGGGGCGCCCCAACGAAAACCCTGCGCCAAAAAATTCAAGATCTTCCCTAAACTTGCCTAATGAGCTAAATTTAACCTGACTCTCATATGTGGACTTTCACAACCAGAATAAGAAAACAAGTTTGACCGTCAATAAACTGCAATTTAAATAAAGTAGTTGGATAGATTAATCAGTGATATAAATTTCATGAGATCATACGTTCATCAATATATTAATTCAAACTGCCCATTCTTAAAAAATTGCAAAAACGTGTCAAGGCGGCAGTGTTTGTTGACGAATCAATGCAAATTTTCTTCGTTCCAAGCTGAGTGACAACTTCGTCCCCAGGGTCTTCTCGTTTGCCAATATGGCGAGACCCTGGCGACGAGTTTCACGAAGGGAAACACTTTTGTTCCTGTCAACCAGCATGGCCCCAGTAACGTCACCTGAAAACCAGCAATAATTTTTTCATATCAATACATTTCGTTAGCTTAACCATTTACAGGTAACTTCGGGTTCCTGTTTTTGATTATTAATTATTTATTATTAACATATCAAAAACAATTAATGATAGTTCATTAAAATCTTGCGTAAGATACTTTATACAAAAAGTACAAAAAAAGAAAAATGTAAAAAGTAATTCATTTGTAAGATAAAAAAAGTAATCGAGAAAGTAATTCAAACTAAAACTAATATTTTTTAGTCTTTAATTCTCACAATTGCCTTTAAGAAGTTTAATAAGTTCTTTTGCCTGCCTTTAAATCAATAAGTCATATGTAGCATAAGGCATGTGAAACGTAAAGATTTAAATTTTAAAGTGCATGGGTTCAGAAAGTTTGCACTAAATCCTTTCTTAAGAATTAAAAAGCGGATTTCACTTGTACGTGATGTTTTATATTTTGCTGTCACGCGCTCGTTGTTCTAGAGCCGTTGTCCATACGAGCGGTGGACAATGGCTAACCAATCATAAAGCACGTCCTATCCAACTGACCTGTGGCGTCAGAGAAATTATGCAAGGAGTGCCTGCTTCTTCCTAGCCTCCTACGCGGGGACGCGGGGCCGGTTTTAGATGAGTGGCATTTACTTCCTCGTTGGGGGGGAGGAAATATGACTTCCCTAAAAACACCTGCGTGGGAGACTGGCCATCTTCCGTGTGTTAAAAAATACGGATCACGTGTAGAGTAGTTCAAGTATTATTAGGGATCAATTTAATCATTCTTTTCATTCCAAAGTAATTAACAAGTGAAGCTATTTCAGGCTCGCATATTAAACTTGTGACAATCGTACGTGACTGACCCAGTAATAATCGAAGAGACTAAAAACTTGTAACGTCCAAAATATGAGATTCAAACCAATCATAGATAACGTCTGCAATGAACTCCGCCGGCTCGTGTGGGCGGCTGTTGGCTCTAGCATGACACAGTACATTCCCAGCAAACCTAAAAAACGAGTAAGAATAGCACCCCTTTGCTTTAGCGAAAAGTGTGAAAATTGTCTATTCATGGATATAAAAGTTAATCTTTCTCGATCGCATGTAAAGATGTAAAGGGCGAAGCATTTATTATCCAGAAACGTCAGTCTTTCTATGAAACAGGCTTATATCGGGTGTCGGAAATATTTTGAAAAGAGACCTTGAAACTGAATTGATTTTCACTAAGACATCATAGATGAAACAAATTTTTTTGCGAGAGAAGGTATTGCCGTAAATTAATGCGAATTAATCTATTAGTAAAATTGATTAGCATAGAAACGTCTTGTTGGTTTTCAATTAATTTTCTCTGAAAATTTTGGAAAAATTTTACACAAAGTACTCGTTGCGATAAAGAAGCTTTCCTTGGTTGTGAATCCGAGGATAATGCTGTTTTAGGTCAATTCTGTGCTGGAGTCATTAATTGCCTAGTGCCTTTACCCATATAGAAAATGCTCTTGTAGAGTTATGAAGAAGGTAGCAAACCAATATTTTATCTGGAAGCTCTCACCACAACATTTTTTGGTGATTTTTGTTGGAATGGCATGAAAACTTGCAAAGGTTTGTCCAACTTTTTCAAGTTTCAATCCATGTCCATCCTTGCCATCCGTTGATCCAAACGACAGAAAACAATTTCAATGCCTAAATATAGTCTGAAATACCTAAACTAGACCATTATGTTTAAAATTCTATTGATGAGAAGACAGATTTTAGGTTTTTTAAAAGACAGCAAATAGCGTGACGTGGCCCCTTTAAGTCTCGAATATTGGCAGCAGTAGAACATTTTCGGGGAAAGTAATTCAGTTTTGTCATTCAGCAGGCAACATATTTCATCCACAGACTCTACAGTTATGGCAACAACGCATTATCTTCATTGTCTTCATTTTTTCTTTCTTTATTATTTTTGGCCAGAGTTAAAAAAATTACGAATGCTGTCTCACATCTCAGCAGTATGTTTTTTTCAAAAGACTGATATAATTCTTGACATTTAACGAGCGGATCAAGGAAAACAGGTGACCGATTGTAATATTTTTAGGCGGCCTTCTTTCCCGCTTGGCTGTACAAAGTTGTCATGAACGATTCGTATAACAGACAATGGCTTTTTCTTTTTCCGTGCTGCGTGTGCACATTTTTGGCATCAGTACCTGGAAACCATAGAAACTATCACGTGGTAAGCTTTATTGCACCTGTGAAAAATTTATATTTCAACACGAGCGGAGAGCAGATTATTGTACACACAAACTCCAATTCCTTTGTACAAAACCTTCCTTGGGATAGAGATAACTGAACGTAGGAAGTAACAAGTCGAAGACCGGCTGGTGAGTACAATATCTTTAACGAGTGAATATAACTTAAGGTGAGGACGTTGACGCTCTAAAAAGGCATCTTTAACCAACGTTAAATTGAATTCGTAAAATGGTTTTCTTGTAATTTTTTTCATGTCTACATCCTTTACAGAGGGAGCTGTCTCAAAAAAGAAGTTTTGTTCTTAATTATTTTCTTTGTTTTGGGGCGAGATTAGATTTCGGGTGAAGAAAGCCAACCCCACCGGTATGTAATTGGTGTCAGGTCACTTCTTTCAATCCTACCTCAGTACTTCGCTTCCTCCCTATTTGAGTCTTTCTGGAAATACTAATTTTACCACACATAGAAAACACTACTCTTAAGTTAACTAAGTAATCCGCGGCTTGAACTTTTCACAACCTTCCAAACATGTAATCCAAAGTGCCGAAAACGTTTTGACATCACGAATATGCAAATTCCGATAGATCGAACTTCGATGGATTCCGATATAAAGTTTATACTACTACACGAAAAATTTCTGCAATTTGATTGGCTTAGAACAGTGGTATTTCAACTTAATTTGAAATACCTACATGTGAAAATTACAAACCTTTTGCGGGTAGTAGTATAAACAAATAATAGCATGATTTGTACGTGATATTCGGCATAAATACCATTCGTGATATTTCAAAATTGCGTATAACAATTTCGAAATATAACTCGTGGCATTTATGCCAATATCACTACAAATCATGCTATTACCTATACTAATACTATGATATATCTTCATCTCAAACACATATGTAGCTATTCACTTCAGCTTGCTCTGTGGGACGTGTGTGATGTAAATTAAAGCGATTGTTGATGATTATTATGCTGCAAATGTTTGCAGCCCAAAATGTAATAATAGTAGCCGTAATTTGTTTCATGATCGTAATGTTTAATTTTGTTGTCCTTCATTTAAAATACGTCCTTATTCCTAACTGGCTTAAAACAATAGTGTCCGGCTAATTCTTCATAACCAGTTGGCGTTGATCTAATTTAAACCACGATCTGCATTATTATTCACATTGTCCTCATCCTCACCCAATGAATTGTTAATTATTTTTAAAAAAAAAAAAACTTTCAGATAATGATATTAATGATATTGAGATAATTATTAATGTTAAAGCTAACTCTGTGAACAAGAATATGGTTATTCACATCGTGTTCCTAGTAGTATAGGGCGCACCAAATTAACCCCTTTTTTGCAGGAAAGATTAACGCCAATGACGTCATAGCCTTTTGTTTTTATCTCATGAATGAAATGAGGTGGATTCTCATTAATGTAAAGTCATGTGATTTAAAGTGGACCAACCAGTTGGACAGTTTTTCTAGTTTTTGTAAAGGAAGGTGTTACTTTTCAGGGTTTGGTTGACAAAAAACTAAGAAGTTTTCTGGAATCCAAGCACACCATGACCACACCATCTAAGGCGGACCCATAAATCTTGCCCTATCACAAGACAATACAGCAGTCTTTTGGGCAAAAATTCGTAATCGATATTTTTGTTATATTTCACTATATTTTGATTTTATTTTTAAATCTTTTCGCCCCTTGAAGACTGCAGATATGTAGAAAGCTCCCTTTTTCAAAAACGTTTTGGCAAGAGCACGTTTTGATATGTTAATATCGTGAGTTATCCCGGATGCGGCTCCTCTATTTTTTCAAACCATTAACAAATTGAATGTTGAAGCACGAGATTTGTAACTAGATGGTTTGAGTAAATGGTAAGCACCTCTTGAGTACGCCATCTCATTGCATCTACCCCTAGCAGTGGTGGATCCAGGGGGGGAGGGGCCCCTCCCCTTATTTTAGACCAGACTGAGGCCCGAAGGGTAAAAAAAATTTTTTTGGACACCGCCCCCTACCTTTTCTAAGGGTCTGGATGACCGGCCCCCCTCCCCCTTATCTCAAGGTCTGGATTCGGCACTGCCTAGTGACTATCCTTGTTGAATAATGAAAGTATTAACTGACTCACCTTCGCGTTTCATGGGAAATGAATAATTATTTGTGTTAACGATTCTCATATGCCTGCGGGAACTAGGATAATTTATGCTTGCCAACTGGGATAAAGTTTCAATTGACTTGAGAGGGCATAACGTACGTTTAATCTCCTGACTCTCATTTCAATGATAATTGATTTATATTAAACAACAAAAAATTAAGTCAATGTCATACCGTAAATACAACATGATAGGCAGTCAATACCATGTAATGAGCTTTACTTTGACAAGTTATATAACAAAAATTATTATTATTTTTCTATTTTATGAACGGGAGTTTTGAAAGTATCCTTTAAAGAAAAATAACCATAAATTTGCGTTTGGTCAAACCTAAACCTTAGGCAAGTTCTTTGTGCCTTTGTGTACTTGAAGTTTTACTTGAGTTAAATGAAGAGCATTTAACTGCTCCAGTGACATAATAATAGCAACTTACTCAAATAATAGTAACATTGATAGTAATAGGAATAGTGATAATAATAATAAAAATAATAGTTTAGTAATGGCAATAGTATTGTTAATAGTAATAGTAATATTAATAATGCCTTTTTAATGGATGCTACAAGCAGCGGATCGAGTTAATAAGTTACCAAATGGAAAGATTAATTACCATTGGATGAGAAAAAAGCATAGTTTCCCGCGTAAGATTTTATCGCTTTTTTTTTTCTATTGCTCACCTGAATTGCTGATTTTGGAAAAGACATCGTCTCGATAAACTTAGGATCTGGACGCTTATTTTCATAGACGTTCAGCAGTTGGTTCGCCACGAGCTTAATAAAAAATTTGCAGGGGATATGAAAACTAATAATTATTGCACGACGTATGTTTTCTTCCTTTTAAATTCTCCGTATTCTAAAAGTTCTCTTTTCCTGAAGACGAAACGTTCAGGCGTACAATGCTAACGATAAAAATTCATAAACGTGTAGATAAATTATTCGGGGTGATTCTTCCTTAATTTTTTTTTAATATAAAAGGACGATAATAATTTCTGGTTGTGATCATTTCTAACATTAATAATTAATGCACCCCACATTTGGTCCCTAATTGCTTCTTGTCACTAAAGTTGACTTTTCGATTCCCATGTGCCTAAAATTATTTACTTTTGCACTTTCGCTGGCATATTGTGATATTTTGAACTTAAAACTTTAAGGTTTATTCTTCGCATTAGACCGGCAATTCACAATGTTGTTTTCAATGAAGTTATATTGGATAACAAAGACAATAAATAAAACGGCTTGGGGCATAGAATGATAATGGGCAAAAACAGATTCATCTGTTATTCATGTCGCGAAATAAAGATGGTGAATTAATTTTATTAATGTCATCTCTTGAAATGTTTTCAGGGCTGGTTTTCATAAGCCTAAAATAGTTTTCTTCAGCTCGTTCATCACTGCCAGTTACATTACTCAGTAGAATTTTATTGAAACTAAGTGTTCGACTCAGGTGTGGTTTGCGGCACATGATCAAATTATGGTTCAAGACTTTGACGGTGGTGGTTTCATCCCAAATATCAAATTAACATCACAGCTTTGAAGTGCATTCCGTGCTGTACAAATACTCTTCAGTCCCTGCAGACTTTCTGGCACATACTCATTGATTTCAATCACAGTTTTAGCAACTTATCATTTTAGCTTCACGCAGAACAATGAAAACTGCACGAAAAAGTAAGTCAAGTAACGGGGCGGCATCTAGTGGCTCTCGCGCGTTTATATATAGATTCAAATATTTAAATAAAAATAACTGTGTTTTTGACTTCGTGCTGTGCTATAAAAGTCATATTTTCAGCGTTAGAAACTTGTGTAAAAGAGCTGTTCTTTGAAGCACCCCCTTGCGACAGCACGTGAGCGTAACAGCAATTCTGCACGGAAGAACGATTCGATAGCCAATGGGTTTCTAGACAACGAGAGTTCTCGTCAGCAATGATGGACTTGCAATAATTTGTGATTGGTGTAAAATTCAAATTTTGACGTGTTTTGTTTTGTTTTTGGTCTCTTTTTTGTTTATTCATGAGCAAACCAGTCGCAATATTCCAAAATTGAAGTGATCATTTGGTATTCGATGACAACGTTTTTTAGTCTCTGGATTAATCATAATATTTTCCACTTACTCGAGTCGCGTCTGACCAGATTCGTTGCTACACCGAACGAAACACTGCTCACACAATAGTTAAAAACTCTTAAAACATGGAACATTTTTCTCGACTGCTACCGTAAGTCGCATTAACATGTTGTTATTATTGATGTGTTTTTTATGTATTTTTTCTGTCCTTGTGCGTACTATTCTTCACTTTACCGCTCTTTAACGGTTCGCCATCTTAGATAGATAGATATAATTCACTCGAAAATGCCAGAGTCGCTAAATTTTCCTTTTTTTGTTGTTGTTGTTTTCATTTTCAGCCTTCCTTGTATTCTTCGATTTTCGGTCGTAAAGAAGTTTATTTAAATCCGTACTCTATAAAAGCCTTTATACGGACTTCAAGCAAGATCTGATAAAATGTCGGCGTAACTTATCAATTTCCCAACAACGGAAATGATTTCCTTTACAACGCTTTCAAGACAGGTGTCTCACGCCGCAGCGCAAAATTAAGAAGAGAACTGAAGACCTGTAAATTCAAAGAAAGTTAGACGAAAGTGCGATGTTATTTGCAGAATATCGCTGCATACATTTTCTTAGCGCAGCCTGACAGACTTAAATGCTCTGTTCGACATATCTCTCTTTCCGTGCGGAAGTATGTATTAGGTTTATTTGTAGGGAGCCGGGTGGTAGCGATAATCCTTCTGCTATCATTCTATTTCTTAATTTATAAATGAAAGCGCTGACAAGAGCAATCCGGCAAAATTAAGCTTAATACACGGCCGGCTAATGTACGATGCAAAACGGGGTCTCGTAGTAAAGTACACCGGCATATACAGATAAAGTGAAGCTAAAAGTGGCGCCTTTATCGGCGTATTCTTTTTCTTTACAACGTTGAGTGCAAAACAACGGGGATTCATAAAGCATTTTTATTTAAGAATCGCCGTTTATAAGGGTTCTTATGTTATAAATAATGAGCAAGCAAAATTCCACGATTATAAAGCAATTATTTATTTAACAAAACCAAGAAAAGCTTGAGACTAAGTAGATAGAAGTGCGTTTTGAATTGCAAAACGGATATACAACCGTTCGGTCAGTAAGTTAGCTACAGATTACTGCAACCCTTAATTCAAGTCAATTTATATTTTTCCATAAGGCCTATGTGCCTATCCTCCATGATGTTTCGCAATCTTAAGAGTAAATATACAAAAGTAAATATAACTACACGAAAGACTTACTATTTCTCTTTGCAGAAAATGGTATCAAGATTGACCTCTTCGTTCCTAATGAATAAAAACTTCGTTTTTGAGGGGTAAAGGAGGAAGCAGGGTGGCCGAGTGGTTAGAGCGCTGGATTTGTAATGTTAAAGTCCCACTCTGAACGCTAGCTGGATTTGTTCTCGGTATTTCCGAGATCAAATCTTCGGCCTCGCTTGTAAATAGCCAACTGGCTTGCCTCCTACCAGTTGGGAATTTTAACCATATTATGTTACTTTTAAATTATTTGTTTCATATCCTAAAAACCTCAGAAGCTTAAAAACTTTGAGAATGAGACCTCTAGTCAGCGATATTTAGAAGAGTAGTGTCCTTTTTAATGTGAAATCTACATTTTAGAATAGAAACGGCATAACACCTGCAGTTTTTAATTTTTGTGCGATAGTCTAGGCCTTTTGTAAAACTACATACACACAACATCGTTTTCAAAAGTCTGGTCATAAACAATTAGGGCTAGGGTGCTAATTTTCAAGTGGGTGGTGGCAATAAACGGGAATATGGAAAAGCTTATAATTTTAAAATTACAGGAAACAGAGGGAATGGGAAGTTAGACTTTTTCAAAGTCCTTCGCTCCTCGTTTCCGGTTCCGGTAGTAGGAAAAACAAAAACATTCTAGCCCGCGCTTTGTGCTCGAGAAACATTTTGAGCTCGATTTGTGGGTAAGTCTAATAGGAAGTTAGCTAAAAATTACAATTATTACAAATAAATTGAAAAATATGAAACTTAGTAAACAAAATACTATGACAGTACCAAAACTTTATATTCATTAATATAATCTAATGATATAAAACAACGCAGCTCGATCTGCAACAGATAGATACTTGGTCGGCAAACTCACAACGGAATATCCCAAGGGTTTTGGAACTGCTGTCACAAAGCTATTTAAATCCTTTTAATTATTTCTTTCTTGTGCGTAGCTCTATTGTTTCAGGGGCAGCGTTTATTGTTTCTGTTGTTTGTCTCTTGTTGACTGTTTTTGTTTTTTGTTTTTTTTATCAAATCCAGTCGGCTATTCAGAGAGCTTCTATAAGCCGCCCTGTTGGAAAGTTGAGGTTCTTTGTTTTAGATTATTAGCCAGAGCCTTTAAAACCATAGCACCTCCTTTACCTTACAAAGGGCAAAGCTAAAGAATATCACCCTGAAAATAGGTTCAATGAACACAGGGAAGATGGTAACGGGCAGATCGTAAAACCTAATGGCAGACTGAGCAGCAAAATGAGCACCCGGAAGGATGCGTTCACTTCCTATTAGCGTGCTTTGCGTTCTCTTTTGACAATGCTTTGTCCTTGCTTAAAGGAGCTATGTCATCTTAGGTCAAATCTGCGCTAAAGTCATTACTTAGTGCTTGACTTATTGAAGTGGCTATCTTAATGTTAAAACTATTTTTTTATTTTGTAATGCGACCGTCCGAATCAGCTCTCGATCGCTAAGTTTGGAAGAAAAATTGGTGCGATTGATCAAGAATTGTTAGGGATGTCACCGTTTATTGCTTGTGCCGGCAACAAAATCATGTTGAGGAGAATATTTGTATGATAATCCAGCTTTTTTATTCCAAATTTTTCTATACATTTTCATGGCAATTGAAAATGAAAACCCTTTCCACCCTCCTCCCCCCCCCCGGGACACATTATTTAGTGCTAGAACAAATCAACAAATGAAATAAGTGATAAAAAAAAAATCGCTCTGAGTATTAAATTTCAAAGCTGATTCGGATGCTTGCATTATAAAATAATGAAAAAAAAAAAGCATCATTTTTTAATTTCTGGTTTATTCTAAGATTTTTTGTTTGTGTTGGTGGTGGAATCGGTATATTCCTTAGTCGTCTTTTTCTGTAGTATTGAGGGAGGGGCCGGCAGACACAGCACTTCTGCAGATTGCCCTTTTAAATGTGACTGACTGAGCTAATTTTTAAGTGATCTAGCAGCTGTGCTCAGTAAACAAGGAAACGAATGTTTAAATTTAATTTTCTAGGAGTTTGCCGAAGTTCTTCGAAAAAGATATAAGTGAGAAAACAGAAAAAAAGCAGGACTCCCAAGGGACGCCTGAACCCCACGAAGAGGTGCCTTTAGTATCACAGACGCACTCGCACGAGAATCTAGCGTTTGAGCAAGAGGAAAAGCATCTGGAACCTAAAGATACCTCAATAGATTCCACAGCTTCTACGATGGAGACAACACTTGAATCGACAACAAGCAGCGAGAGTCAAGATATTAAGGATGCTCAAGTAGAAAGCGGAGACGACTCGGGGATTTCCGTAAATCAGTTGAGCGGAAGTGACGCCAATCAATCTGAGTCCAACATGATCGATGAGGGTCGGGAAGTTAAGGATTCTAAGCAAAGCGGAAGTGATTCTGGGAACCATGTGAACGGAACTAACGCTGGAGCCACAAGTGAAGATGGAGATGAAAACGAAGACCCTGAACTCGGTCACGATGTAAAACCTTTCCTAAAAGCTATCGGTACTATTGCAACGAAACTGGCGATGGTCAGTCCGCCTGAAATTAAAGTCGATAAACCAACAACGTTGTTTGCAGTTGCAAAAGGAGACACCACAGACTCCCCAGTCAAAAATGAAAAGCAACCATCTCCTTTTACTTCAAGGCGGCATACGGATCATGAAATAAAAAAAAAGAGCAATTTATCACCCGACGAAGCACTGGTGATACGTCGCCATAGTGACTTTGCTGTTTCGGTTCCTATATCGACAAACGAAGAATTAGCTTTAGCGGACTTGAAACGACGCGGATATGGTGCCTCCGGAGCTCAAAGAGGTACACGCTATGTAATATATAACCATAGTTTTTAAATAAAGCAAATGTTTTTTTTTTAACAAGGTTAAATCATGAACCATTTTTATTTTGATTTTCTGGAACACATTAGCTGCAACTTAGGTTGAGACTATAAGTAATGGTAACAGGACTGAGTGGAGTCCAATTCGGTCTGTAATCATACGAGTGATTAACAAAATCGGACAACCGCGTAGAGAGAGTCCGATTTCCTTAATCACGAGTATGATTACAGACCGAATTCGACGACACGAAGTTCTGTTACCAATTAATCATAACTTTAACAAAATTTTTGAAAAAACAGCTCTTTTTTTAAATCAAAACACGAGAAATTCCAAGGTTTTTTTGCTAGCAGTGAATACTATCTAATTACTTAGGCATGACGCGTACTGTCCTATTAAACTGTCCTATAAGGCTGAAATCGGGACAGTTGATAGCCAATCAGATTTGATAATTTTGTTATAGTTATGATGACATGTAGAATATGTACTCTCCAGCAATAGTAAATGATGATGATGACCATCAGCCTCGTCCTTAAGTGTTTTCACAAGACCAGTTATCAGCACTGAAGCACACGTACCAACTCTGCGGAGCCCTGGGGACAAGATTGTGTTGTAATGATAAAATAATGCATATACTGTAAATCTGTGTATACGCCACTTCCACATTTCCCATAATGCACCATATTTGCCCCCCAAATTTTGCTTAACCTTTGTTTTTCATTTTTCCTGGGTATTATAGCCGTCCCAAAACAAATTGAAAACAATGCTTATGCAAAATTTTGGGGGGCAAATAAGGTGCATTATGGGAAATGTGGAAGTGGTATACATGGGGCGAAATCAACTTTTTGGGAGGGAGTGGGAAGGAGGAGTTGGCGTTTTCTTATTGAAACAGGTAAAATTATTTCTTTATTGTCCTTATAGTTTTGTTTCTTTTTCCTGTTTATTGTAGAAACCAGGAAAGGTTCATTACCAGAAATGATAGGAAGAAGAGGAAGCAGCCCTCAATGGTCGCCAAGAATGCAGCGAAAAATGCAAGAGGATGCAAGGAAAGGAAAGAAAAAAGAAGAAAAAAGAAAGACTCTGGCAGAACTGGCCTCAGAAGCTGGATACACGGTAAAAGAGTGTGACTTCATAGAGTAATTTTGCGAGCGCGTGAAGTCTGGCAAGGTGAATGTAAGCAAAAAAGCAAAAAAAGCTTTCGTACATGTTTAAGTTGTAGTCAATTTCAAAAAGATTCAGGGACCAAATAACCAGCTTAGAGTAACATCCGTGGGTATAGTTTGTTCTTTTTAAAACGTAGGCTCACTACTATAGTACTAGTACTTGTACCTTACTAGTGAGGAAACGAATTTCTGACAACAGAAAGTTCTAAAACTGAAAAAAAAAGGAAACGAAAAACTCAGAGGTGACACATTACATGCGCATAATAACTTGTTTTTGTTGAATAAGACCAAGTTAATCAATTAATCTATCCGTTATGACAACATCTCAAGTATGAAATCATTTTTAGACGAATGTACAAGAGACACCTACAGCTGCTGAAACCAAAGCTGTCCAAAGGATCGCTAAAGCTGAGGTAAACACATGTTGCTTATCACTCCCTTGTTTGCACTTTACTTGAATGATATCGTATACCGCCCGTCGCACCACTTAACAATTAGTTCATGCGTCAGCGTGCGTATGTCGAGATATTGAGCACGCGGGAAGTTTGGAGAGCACGAAAGAGGCGTAAGAGTTGCACGAGGCGCAGCCGAGTGCAACTCTAGCCTCTTGAAATTCAGCTGCAGCATGAACTAATTGTTTTATAACATCATCAAAGCGATCAATGCATCAGTTAACTTATAATTTTATTATTGTAGGGTGCGCTCAAAGCAGTACGCGTCAATGTTTACGTGACTATATATTTTTTTCCTCACAGTTAATCTTATGTTTTTATCCTGAAACTGAGAGAAAGTGTACTCTAAAATGATTATAAAATCCATATTTAGGTGCCGGAAAACTATTAATTTACCGAAAAATTGTTATTGAGAGAAAACAAGTTTGCAAAGAATGAGCTCACGCCATAGCCCGCACAGCTCGCGGAGATGACAACAACAACAACAACAACAACACTCACCTCTTTTCCTTACGATCGGTTAACAAATTCAAACGTTTCCTCTTAAATTTCCTTATAAAACACATCGTAAACGCTTCCTTGTCTATTGCTAAGTTATGGATGAACTCAGGAGACTCAGGATTGCTAAGCTCACAACCACTCGAGGAATTACGAATAGTTTATTGACGTCATCAGCGTGCTCAATAGGAATATGAAGCACGCTCGCGCTATTGAATTTGATTAGGCGAATTTTCTAGCTATGTTATAAAATCCATTTTATTCATGCAACATTAAGCCATTGACGCAGAGGGAACTGGACAGTCTGTGGGTTCAAATCCTGTTCTAAGGCCCGTTTTTAGCGGGGCCTGGGAAATTAGGGCCTGAAGACAAACTGGGCGGTGGCAATATTAGCGATCCTTCTTGGACATATGTTAAGTATAGCCGGCCCTCTTTGCCTCGAATGCTTCCAGAATGTGGAATTCAAAGAAAAATTTTTACTTTAGGCATTGCATTGAGGGCTAATTATAAAAAATGCAAGACTAAATTTTAAGAACTAATTTTTACCAAATTAATGTTTGTGTGGGTCAGTACATTTCCTTTCTTTAGTCAGTTTAAACCTCGATCTTGAATGCCAACACGGCAAACATAACTGAAACATGCCCTTCCACGGCCGATCCCTGGCAAATGTCGGCGCCACTGCGTGTCACTAGCTGGAATTGTTCTTGGTAGACCCGAGTATAACTCAGACGGCCGATCTTTATTTGCCTTAAGGGAATTTACAAGGCCCGAAACTCGTGGTATCTTTCTTCCCTTTTTAAAAAATTCTAGTTGTACCCAGTAAGGAAAGCTCGTGTGAGAGAGAAGGCCTAAATTGACTTCAAAAATATAGTTTTTCTTGCAGCTAAGCCACAAACGCTACAGTACCACTTTACAACAACGCCCTCGAGTTCCAGATTTCCTAATTCAGGGGTTGTTCAATTTAGTTATTGTTTCGTCGAAACGCTTTAAGTTTATTGCAGTGGGTTACTAATGCTTTCGCCTATCCTTAGGGAAGCCCTGAGAGTTTAATAAGTGACATGGAGGAAGAAAATTATGGTAGTGGCATTCCAGTCACAGGAGAACTCTTTGTGAGCATGCGCTATGAAATGCGCTTTAGTAAGTTTGAGTTGCATGTTCACAGCGCCAATAATCTGGCTTCTGCTGACTCCAAGAAAGGCTCTTCAGATCCGTAAGTATTTCCTATATAATAAAGTGTTTACAGTGTATGATTTTCAAAATGTGGAGACCTCCATTTGAATCAATGGTGAACTTGTAATGTGATCAATATCAAGCAGTTATTGAATGAGCCCGTGTAGGATGTGAAGAATTATGCAGATCGAAGAGGATGTTATCGGCCGAGGTGGATACCATCCTCCTTCGAGATCTGCATAATTTTTCACATTATAAGGAAGCCGAATTTGATAATCATAAAGTTTTATTATTGATTCAAAGATTTCTAAGCTCTTAACAAGCTTTCCTTCTCGAAGACTTTCTTCAAAACTTTGGCCTATTTCTAGGCACGGTTTCAGGATATAAGTATAAGTTTTCTCACGCTGATACTCCTTAAAATGTGGACAAAATCAATGGAGCGACATGTTCTTCCGTTTAGATTTTAGCAAGAAATTCACGGGCTATTTCGTTATCAGATAGCCGTGAACGCCATTTTAGTTTTCAGTTCACTCAGGAATAAACTGCTAGGCTGCCGCGCCTGGTAACGAGGTTGATCGATGGAGTATCATAGCGGGACAGAGCCCCATACTCATAGAATATTAAATAGAATATGGTCATCCTCTTTTCGTTTGGTTGTCACGTGATTGACAGAGCGTACGTTCGTTACGTACGCACGCGTCTAGGGATTGTACGGGTGGGATAGGGGAGACTATCAAAAGAGAGGGAGGGGTGTCTCAGGCTTGTCTTGGCAAGTCCACATCTTGTATATTGGACATTTGCAAAATGGTCAATTGACAGCTGTCAAAACCGGATAGACATTGACCAGTATTACATGACCATATCGCCGGCTCATGTGTCAACTCATCGAGGTGACGTGATTTATTTGGAAGCTGTCCGCTGACCAGTTAATTGTTTTACTAGCTAGTTTGAGAGCACAGGAAAACTGATAATGCACACATATTGGACATCAATGTTGTGATCAATTGACAGCTGTCAAAACAGGGTATCCGCTGACTAGTATAACTTGACCATATCGCGGGCTTAGGTGTCGACCCATCGAGCTCAAGTATTTTTTGAAGTTATCCGCTGACAAGTTAGTAGTTTTCAAATGATCACAGGCGCAAGTTTCTTTTTTTTTAAATTCATATGAAATAGGTTGTGTTTTTGTACCGCACAATTAAAATTTTGGTCGATCGATCGTCCTGAATATTGAATGCGTGCAATTTGTATTGCAAAATTCTGAAATACCGCATTCTGTCCGAGGTCTGTATGATAAAAACAGTGCGCCATAGTACTGTCTCACCTCAGATATAATGTATAAATGGTATAAAAGGTTGGTTTACACGCACCCAGATTTGTTGGCAAGATTTTGTAAAGTAAACTTGTCGAACGCAAAAAAAATTCCGCCTGATTTTTTTTCCAGGCTTAATTAATTTACGGTGATCAAGAGCCGTTATGGCTCTTAAATGTGATCGAAGATGATTGCCAATTTTTTGATGTACATATGAGGCTATCAACTCGATGTAAGATTTGGTTTACTCATGGGCTCCCCCTTATATAACTGCCTGCAGTGAGTTTCCAAAGCATTAATCGTATCTCCTTAGTCAATTAGAATGGGGGCCTAATGTACACTTAAATGCCCGGGTGTAAAGACTCTACCCTTCAGTACTGGAACACCGGCACCTTGTGCAAGTTCTGGGGTGGGTACTTAAAAGTTAGTGCCCAGAGTGTAGAGTGACCTAGGGGCCATTTTTTTTTTAATGTTAAGGAGCTTTTCTCCTGTACTCGGGCACCGCTGGTGCAATTTCTGCATTGAATACTTAAACGTTAGTGCCCAGATTCTAGTCGTGCCTGGGCATCACATGTAAACATCGCCGCGTTTTAAAAGGTCTAGTGAGAGGATGAGCCTTTTACCTCCCTCTGTCGTGTCTGTTGTATTATTATTATTAATGATTATTATAAAGGAGCTTTTAAACCACCTTAAAATAAAAATCGACGTATTTTTCAGCCTGTTCCAGGCTCCAAGATAGTGAGGAGAGCAGATCGAGAAAAGCTGCTCGAAAACATCGTGGGGGTTGGGGAGAGACGAGGTAGTGGAGCCTATAAGCATAATTTTCAACACGTGATTCCGGTAAACCAGCTCCTAGTATACCCTGCGACTGGTCAATTGTGACAGTATACTTCCACGACAACCCTTGGCTTTGCGGGAAGAGTCTAACAAATATCTAGAGAATGCAAACCCCTCCTACATTGGACAGTTTGACACGAGAATTGGTTTTTCAGGAATCGAATCGGGCGGTGTAATGGGCGTTGTGAGGAATTTGAAAAGATGCTTTCAGGCTCTTCCCTTCTCTCTTCCTGCCCTTTTTTGCTCTTTCACTATTTCGCTACTAGCTCACTCTTTTCGCTCGGCCACACTGCACGTGATCGAGAGCACTGACCGAAAGCCTAGCACAGTCTATGTATTGTTTAACCGTAGAGAGAGAGGTATAACACTCTGAGCTGATTACCTGGAGCTGTATCAGTCTGTTTCAGTCGGCTTCATTTGAAATGATTTACTTAGGATTGCTTTTAAAAATCAGGAATATCGTTATTCAATTGATAAAAATGGTTTTTAATCTAATTGGAGAGATTTCTTAACAGTTTCTCCTTCTTTCTTTTCTAGTTACGTGAAGACGTATCTTTTGCCGGATAAACGAAGTAAGCGCAAAACGAACGTTAAGAAAGAAACATTAAATCCCAACTTTGATGAAATACTGGAGGTAAAGTGATTTTAACCTAATGTGATATGTCTTAACGTCACCTGCGTCTTTATTTATCGTTTTCGGACTTGGTCATCAGTATCTACCACACTGTCAGTGTATCATGATTGGCTCTGTTTCTGGTCGTACGACCAGTCACTTGAACCTACAAAGTTTTTTATGGCCCCCTTTATATAACATTTTTGACAGAAAAGTACCCCTTTAGTATATTGACAAATGGTAACCCTTTCTCGAACCTGCATCCATTTAAGTTGCTCCAAATACAATGTCTTCTAATTTTTTTCAAAAAAAAAAAAAATCACAAAACCAGAACGTTTTGTTGAATGTTTTTACAGCCATTAAATGCATCTGGTAGCCCTATTGGGCCTTCTTACAGACCGAAATGAAAGATTTCCTTACCTTTTCATATACTTCAACCAGGGAAATCACTATAGCCTTTCATATACCGCAAACGTTCAAAAGGTACCACTTTCGCGCGGAGCCTCCCTGTATAAGCCATGGTAGGGAGTACCCCCTGGGGTTCCGCTCTCGACGCTGTCGTATCTCGTATCGCGTACGCTTCTTTTTTTAGTGTCTCTTTATTTACACTTAGAGATTCTTTCTTCAACCGTTTCTCAGTGTTAGAATATTCCAACCGATTGACGCCACGCCTCTACTTTCATGTAGTATTTTATAGGCTATGACGAGCTCCTCACGCGGACCTTATCTCTTAGTGTCTGGCACAGTGCGCTGGGTCCAAACGATTTCTTGGGTGAGGTAAAAATTCCCATGAGCGATTTTGTGGAAGAACATGGCAACTCCATCCAGCAGTGGGTAGCAAGATGGTTTACTCTGACTAATAAAGTGAGTATGCTCTTATGAGCTCGGAGCTCTCTAGCGAGAGAGAGGTTATCTATGCATCCAAGAAATATTGATTGTCAGAAAATCGTCCTTACGTCCGTCCGTCTCTCATATTGGCGGATCTGAAATTGGCTTACAAGGCATGTTTAACCCATTTTATGATCAATTGACAATTAGCTGTTTTTATACTAAGGAAGCATTATCCGTCTGGACGAACTTGGGCAAACATTTTGTAGTTCGCCTGGTTATGCGTCTGAAGTACAAAGACTGGCACAAGACACAGTATACGTCCAGACGAACTGCCTTTCGTAGTGCGTTTTTCAAGACGTATTTCGAAGGAAACTGAGTTCGACTGAGTTCGTCCAGACGCATAATGCGTCTTGTACCCTTCTTTATACTTGAGACGCATAACAAGACGAAACTACAAATGTTTGCCCAAATTCGTCCAGACGGATAATGCGTCCTTGGTTTAAAACGGCCATAGACGCTTATCCATCTGGACGGATTATGCGTCCTCTAGTATAAAAATGGCCAATATTAAGTATTTACTGACAAGTGTCACATGACTGTATCGCAGCTCAGGTGCACAACTCACCGAGGTGACGTGTTTCTTTAAAGTTCTTCGTTGAACAGTTATGGTATTCAAGTGATCATGGCCTCAGAAAACTTTGCTTCAGAAAGGCATTTCTTAAAAGGTCCCATATTATATTCCGTCAGAAAATCTAAAACAGTACGGGAAACGCATGACGTGTGACAAGGTTGAAAACAAATCGATGGTAGATTACATGGATTTACAGAGTGTTTGTATCATAGAGCGGAGGCTGAATGAAGAGGACAAATAAGATAAGTTGTAAATTCATCGATATTTCAAGGCCAGAAAGTATGCAAATGGCTACCGTGAATTTTGAGGTTTTATTGCCATGTTGATATTTTACGATTTTTCCTTAAATTCTTTGAAAAATACCGTCAAATTCCGAAAATAAGCCCCGGGGCTTATATTTTTCAAAGGCCCTTTTTGAGGGGCTTATTTTTGGAGGGGCTTATCTACGGAGGGAAATTTGCGTTTCAAAATTGACTGGGCTAGCCTTATAAATGGCAGGAAATTTACCGTTTTTTCTTTGTTTAACTTTGTATTTTAGGGCAATTTCCGAGTAAAAGCCCCCCGGGAGGCTTATATTTGGAGGGGCGATTTAACGGAGGGTTTTTTGCGTTACGAGTTTGGGGGTCTTATATTTGGAGGGGCTTATTTTCGGAATTTTATGGTAGTCTAAAAACTATATGAAACACTTGAAACAGATCCGAGTTTCATCGAATACCAAAACACGGCCAAGTAGATTTACTTTACGTTTATACTATCAACTAGCACATGAGACTGTCCTTCTCGCCTTTGGCAAAAGACCTTTTAAGGGTGAAAATCAAAACCAAAACACATAAAAGCTGAAGAGGTCAATTATAATAACGTAATCTTTACTTTTTCAAATAGCGTGACGAAACAGATGGTTTACCTTCAAATCCATGTGAATTGGTCTTGGCTTTGAAGTACGTTACCCCTGATAAAGTGAAAAACAAGAAGGGAAGACACAAAGGAGAATTACACGTTCATCTGCTGGAGGCCAGAAATCTGCCAGGAATGGACGCTGACGGGATGTCAGATCCGTACTGTAAATGGTAGGCTCGCAGTAAATTGGATATAACTGGAAGTACCGTATTTACTCGAATAAGCGCCACGGCGCTTATTTAATTATTCGTGTCTCCGTTGCGGCGCTTATTTAAAAGGCTCATACCACGAAGACAAAACATTTTGATTGTACAATTTAAGTTACCTATTACGACACCAACGCAATCGGCGTGTATGTGACACATGAAAGACCAGACGCTGAAAATACTCTTGCTGGCCATGTACCGAACTATCGCGTTTGTTGACCTTCTTCTTACAGCAAACGCTGACAATCTCCTCACTGTAACAGTTACAGAGAAGAGAAAGAGGGAGGCTGGGCTTGTCGTACCGGCGAAGTTTACAGCCTTCACGAAAGAACTGAAGAACGCGAAAACTGAATGAAAGAGCGTCGAGATATATTCACTTTGTACTGAAAAACGTCACTATTGATAAAAACAAATTCCCATTGCTGGCTTAGAACTGCATTGCAGCAATTACAGTGTATTCTTATCATCTTATGGAAATACTTTAATAAGCGCCGCACCGGAGCTGAGGGGCTTAGTTATGACAGTATTTTATTCAGCCACTCTTGACCATAAGAGTCGCTCCAGAAGCGATTTTTTTTTTAAGTATAGCGCCCTAAACCTAGTTTTCATAACCCTTAGAAGACAGCTGACACCGACACCACTGGTTTCCCTGCGAAATAACTTCTGAGGAACGACTGCAGACATTCCGTACTGGTGACGCGTCACTACTCAGATCTGGGTAAGAGTTCTGATTGGTTGAAAATTTTATTTATCCAATCCGAAGCACAATACAGATCTAGTTGTGGCATTCATCAGTATGGAATTTTTGCGCTCGTTCCCCAGACGTCATTTCAAGGGGAAACCAGTGATGGCGTGGCGAAATTTCGGCTGTTTTCTCAGGCTACACTAGAGGAGATTTTTCCCGATTCATAAATGTCATCGGATCTATAACATTCGGGGTCTTCGGATTCGAAGGCACCGTTTTTACACACATCACTTAATCCCAGAACATTCATTTGATTTAGAAGTATTCACTTTAAATTCAGGATTGGAAATGTCTGGACACGCGAACAAACCAAAATTAATTCAAATATTTCGACTGTTTTGATACCTAATGAAACGCCGGGAATAAAACAGCATCAGTTTTTCATCATCTGAGATCAAACACTGGCATCTTAATGAGATTGAGGAGAAGTGTAACGTCACGAAATTGAATAATGAAATTGGATAAGATCGATGACGTTGGAACGGTGCGAGTTCACTTTTTGAGTGACGTTTTCGGTTTGATATCATCCAGAAATTTTGCTACCATGGCAACGTGACTTAACGATTTCTCCTTTCTACTCATTAACACAACTCATGGAAATAATGCAATACCAGAGAAAACGAGTCATAATTTCTTATTGTTTCACTTTAGAAGACATGTCAGAAACTCGAAACAGATGAAACCACTCGGGATACGGCCGTGATGAAGCAGTCTCCCTCGTTTTAAACATATAAATTCCTGTACTCAGGAATGTCTTCTCTCTTTGTATTTCTCCCTAGTTATTTATTACCAGACAAGAAAGGAAAAACAAAGCACAAGACACCAATCATTAAACGAACCCTGAACCCCACTTTTGATCACAAGTTTTCCTATGAGGAAGTTTCTCAGGATGAGCTGAAAGAGAGAGTCTTGGAAGTAACAATTTACGATTACGATCGTGCTTCCAGCGATGAATTTATCGGTGGTGTCCGATTGGGCCTGGGCACGAGCTCCAACGAATGGGATGACTCCACCGAAGACGAAAGCCAAATATGGCATACGATGCTGAACAGGGCAAATGTTTGGATTCAAGTTGTAGTGCCCTTGAGGTCTAGTATGGTCTCCAAGAAACAAGTTTAATATTGGCTTTCTTTTGGACAGTGTCGCGCGGAAGGCTTTACCTCCAGTATCCGGATATTTTTGGATTATTTAGTAGTTCCCGGGAATAGTCCAGTATAGCGGCCGCTGAATGGAAGCGCTGAAGGCTCATTCATACAGTGTTAACCTCCACCTAAGGTAAATATATTCACAAATTCTAGTGAGAAGAAGACCTGTGTACAACTGTGTCTAATGTTTTGGAATACAAATTCAGGCACCTTCTCGCCGGTACTTGCGAATGTTTTACTTTAGGTCGAGGCTAACTCTGTATGAATGAGTCTTCAGTGTCTCTGTTCAGTGGCCGCGACGAATTCGAAACTGGACTATTTAGAGGAAGTGGTAGAAACCTGAGGATAATTAACGTTTGTGAAAGCGTCTGTAGATGATCGATTGTTGATTTTTAGTCCACAGAGTTGTATTTCTACGTTTACACAAGTCCCTAGTCCATCTCCCTTTATTCATTATCAAGAAATTTTAAACATTCCAGTTCAGTCAGGGCTCGACATATTTAGTAAACCTACTGTAAAAAAAGGAATTCACAAAGAAAATTGAGCTGTATCAATAAGTGAGAGAAAGACGTGTGCAGATAATTGCACTTTAGAAAAAAAGGAGAGTTGTTCGGTATTTCAATGAAATAAACAATGTGTAACATTGAAAAGTCTTTAAATTATTGATAATGCCATTTTTTCCCTTGGATGCTGAATTTTATCGAAGTCGCATAAAAGTATACGATAATTTAAAGAGACAAAAGTTGCTGACTTGCAAAAAAACTTTGACCGCTGTGGTACATTTGTAGATGAAGCTGATAAAATAAAACGAAATTTCGCGGCTTCACGTTTTTTTTCTTTGACTATTGTATACACTTTAACACTTGGGAGACAAGGTGGGGGGGTTAATTTTGTAGGAACACTCCTTGGGATACGATACACTGACGATAAGATATAGCAAGAGACCTTCCAGGGGTGATATCAAGGTATGCTCCTTTTTTGGGCGTGTAAAGTTTGCATCACCAGTTGAAGCGCAAATTTATGCCTACCTGCCAATGTTCTTGACAAATGCATTCGGGATAGTAGCTATTATGCATTGTTTTTTGAACCTCGGCAGAGTCGAAGCAAAAAGCCTTAAAAAAATTTATAAGGAAGCCAGTATCCAAGCATTGGCCAAAAAGAGGATTAAGAATTTTTAACGTTTTCTGTATTGCTCTTGGTTTTCTTTGATTCATAGACTTCAAGGTTGTCGTTTTATTTTTTTCCCATATCAAAAAATATAAGAGGAAAACTCGGTGGACTTGCTGAAGAGGCAATTTTTTTTCTCACAGGTGCAAAGTGGTTATTCCAAACGAAACAGTAACGAGCGAGACATTTCACTGATTCCTTCCCCGGTGTTACCTCAAAACGGGAGAGATTATACATTCTCGACCGCGATTAGTCGTATTGGCCAATTTTATCACTTGTTCGTCCCCTGAAATACCACGTGACATAATGTTTATCCCATCAATCCTAAAGTTCCAGCAGAGATGGCGGATATCGTGAACATAGACCATAATGCAACTTGTTTACCCCCCCCCCCCCAAATTTTACATAATCATTGTCTTCGATTTCTCGTAGGACGACTGTAATACCCAACAGAAATTGGAAATAATGGTTATCCAATTTTTTTTGGAGGGGGGAGGTTAAAAAATGTGTATTAGGGTGTATGTGAAAATAGTGAATTAAATATAAAGGGGCCAACCGGTCGAGGAATTAAGGAGAGAAAGGGTCATTGCCCTTCCCTCCTGCAATTCCCTTGCTCGGCTCGCTTTGCTTGGTGAGTTTATTCGTCCCGTTATTTTCCTTTCCCCCTAAAAAGGAGCGTAGTACCAGGCTAAGACTTTTAAATACTTGGTTTTCAAAGTCTGTTGTTGATGAAAGGAGAGTTTTTTCAACCGTAAAATACTGGAAATAACAACTTCTGTTTCTATCCAGAACTAATTTGCATTTGGATGTTTCTCCGAATGATTGGTTTTGTCAGGCTCCGAGGTAGAGTTTTTATTTTTTGAACAATTGTGCTGTTCTTGCTATCCTATATCAACGCTGCTTAATTGCCACAGATATTCAAAACAACTAAGTACAGCTACAATTTATATGATCAAAGAACTAGAACGTGATTGCGAAATCTGACGGCACAGACTTTCACAGGGACATAAACGGGGACAGAATGTGCAGAAAACATCATCTGGATAATTGAAAAGCTCTTTGTTTTAGTAGTTTGAGCCAATAATGACGATACATAAGCGCAAGCGGCAAGGCCGCAATGACGTTGAACGAGGCGAAACTCGTCCAACACTCAAACTCTTGTTTATTTCCATCCCAACCAATTATTTCAGCCTGGAACAATTTTACCTTTGAACCTTTTCCAAATCAAGTAATGCCAGTTCAGTTTCCAACCTTCTCAAACGACCGAGCGTTTTCATTCACGTGGCCAGTGGCTATGCAAATTTTTGGAACAAATTACTTAACTGAGAAACGAGTTTAACTCCAACAAGTCTAGTTAAGGACACCGACATGCCGCCACTTTATTGTTTTACGACACCAACATGGCGGACTTGACGTCATATGAAAAGGGTTTATTGTGGCAGCATAATTACTAAACAGTTGGCGCAATACTGTTATAAAAGGATAATAGTTTCATAAGTATGAAAATCCATTTATGGACAGCGAAATTCCAAATTTTTCTCTAGGGGTTATGTCCCCATCCTTTCAGTGTTCTCACCCTTACGACCCTTACGGGTTTGGATTAGCACCCCTCCCCTACTCTTAGGCTTGCTCTGCATTCCCTAGTGTTTAATAATTTATTTGTGTCCAGGTAACAAAAAGAATGAAAAGCTCTTTTCTTTACCTGTCAAAACAGACTTTAATCTGAACATCTGATTGGTTGTGATACGCTGTCTCTTGTTAAAAATGACGAGACACAAATTTAAAGGGACCTGCAAACGTAAGAAGTGGAGAGAGGGGCTGTATACACCTCAAGATTATTTCTAGCTTGAGATCTGGAAGGGAACGAAGATCAGTTGGGGTGAGTTAATCAAACATTTAATCAGTATACGTAAAATTGCAGCTAAAGGCTTTTCAGCCTCCTCTCATCACAAAGGACATACACCTTTGTCCGAAGTTATGGCGAGTAAAGGCCAAATTTCCTCTACAACAATTCTTTATTACAATGCTTTTCGTGGTTAAAATCATTATGAACTGAGGTGTTTAAACCAACACTTGTTTTTTTCAAAATTAATACCTTGTTGATTGTTATTCAGCTTTAGTTTTATTTGGAACTACAGACTGTATTTAATAAATCGCTGCGACCCAAGGTGTCTTTCATGTTCCTCGTTTTTACAATGGATACCTAAGTATTTGAAACAAATGAGCGTCCGATCCTGTCATTGTTTTGCCAATTTTTTGGAGGCTTTAAAGTCTTCTTGGTAGTTTAGTTCAACGCAAGAAAAGCTGTGAAGGAAGTTAACCAGGGCAAATAACAGCGGATAAACTATTTCAGCTAATTGTCTGGAAACAACTTTTGAGTCCTGATCTTTATCAAAAGCAAACAATTGTTTAGCATTCACAAGAGAGCATAAAGAGCTTCCATGCAAAATATTAACTTAATCTTTGCCCTAGAAACGGCAAATGAAAATTGTTTATCCAAAATTACAATACGAGCAGGATTTTGTATTTGACGCATTATTTCTGGTTTTAAAAGCCGAAAAAAAAGACAGCGGTATTGTACTAAGCCTAACAAAGGAATATCAATTGGCGTCCTTTGTAATCGAGGTTGAACAATCACATAGACTTGAGGATTAAAAAAGTCATTTTTTCCCTTTCATTGCTTTCTTGGCATTAAAACTAATTAAAATTCCAAGATTTTTAGCTCGTTTATTTAATGTAAAAAAGAGTTCTTAAATATTTCACCACGGTGTCATAATCCATGTATTTCAAAAAAATTCTGCGCTTTTTTTTTGCATTTTGCTGGTACGATAAAGACCACGGTTGACACGCTTTTAACTGGATGCTCAACACGGTTCTCATTCAGTTTATTTCGTCGGAATTACCATTAGATAATACTTTGACTGGTATTGGCTTTTAAAACTTTTATCTCAGAGGACAAAACCTTATTGCACGAACAATTTTGAAAGGTGTATCCACTCAAGAAGTTGAATTGAATTAAAGTTTGTCTTTTTATAAATATTCGTGTCCAGAGGAATTAAAATACACTTAGAATACCAAAGCAAGCGTTTGAAAAGCTATTTAAGATTTCACGAACTGTTAAGCAAGACTATTTTGGCCGACACGTCACTTTTATTTTA